TATATATATATATATATACATATATATAGTACAACAAAGAATTTCAAAAGTTTTAGACTTTACAAAAATCTAAAAGCAATAGGAAAATTGCAAAAACCCTTAAATAACTATAAAAGACCAAATTTATGCAAAATATTATCAAAACAATGACACAAAGAACTCATAAGAAAATTAACACACACAAAGGGGATTCAACTATAATGTGACTTTAAACCACCTCAATAAGAAACACTAAATGTTGTGGGAGATGATTTCATAATTCATGCAGAGGAAAGCAGAAGTTCTCACACTGACCACAAGGTAGAGCTCTCCGTTTGCTGTAATTTGCTTCCCTCTGTTTTAAATGCTGCCAGAATAAAGTATTTCATTTCCTATTAGAGTTATGAGCTTTTGGCTACAAGGGTAGAAGTAATATAACTCTGCCATGGCCATAAATGCACATTTAAAATTTTTTTTTTTTTTTAAAGGGCTTGTTAATCAGCTGAAAAAAAATCACAATGTAGGAAATGTTTTCACACTTGATGGGAACAGAGGGGCCTCGTCTGTGAATTAGATGAACAAAGGCCTACTGTTAAGGTGTTTAGGTGTGAACTGCCAATCTGTGTGTGTGTGTCTTATGTGTGTGTGTCTTATCTCACTCAGCCTTATAACCTGAATCTCTCACTCTCTTCTCTTTGAATTGAGAAAGCTCCTCGGATGAGGAGCGAAACGTCTTCTGCTACAAATAAAGTCCAGTTGTTTTTGTATTGAACGCTTTTTGAATGTAGGAAAGATAAATACTTTTACATGGTTTATCACACACGTCTTCCTTTTTGGGTCATGGGTGGTCACTGGTGCTCATGTCCAGCCATCACTGTGCGAGAGGCGGGGGGACACCCTGGTCTCCAGTCCATCGCAGGGAGACAAACGAGACAAACAACCATTCACTCTCTCACTCACATGCATGTTTTTGGTCTGTGGGAGAAAACCAGAGTACCCGGAGAAAACCCACGCATGCACAAAGAGAACATGCAAACTTCACCCAACATAACTGGTTTGTTCCATCCATCCATCCATTTTCTTTACCCGTTTATTCCATTTTGGATCACGGGGGTCGCTGGTGCCCATGTCCAGCAATCACTGTGCGAGGGGCGGGGTACACCCTGGACGGGTCGCAAGTCCATCACAGGGCCACACAGAGACAAACGAGACAAACAACCATTCACTCTCTCACTCACACCTAGGGGCAATTTAGAGTTACCAATCAGCCTAACATGCATGTTTTTGGACTGTGGGAGGAAACCGGAGTACCCGGAGAAAACCCACGCATGCACGGAGAGAACATGCAAACTCCACCCAGAAAGGCCCCTGGACCGGGGTTTGAACCAGGGACCTGCTCGCTGAGAGGCAGCAGCTCTACCAGTTGCGCCACCGTGCTGCTACTGGTTTGTTCCACTTTGGAGTAAGCTGTTGGGGAAGAATCAGTTTTGTGTTGTGTATTTCCCTGACTGATGAAGCTCTCTGGATGGAAGGTGAAACGTTTCAGCACAAATAAAAAGAAATTGTCCAGATGACCTGACTGAAAATGGTTGGATTCACCCAGAATGGCTCCCCGGCCGGGATTCGATCCAGCAACCTTCTCGCTGAGAGGCAGCAGCTCTACCAACTACGTCAGGTGGCACCACCTGAGCATTCAGGTTCATACAAAATAAAAATAACGTGAAACATCATCTTTACAAACAAGCTGCCTAATAACACATGGTCTGTCAGAAAGTGGAACCACACAGTCAGGTGTTTTTTTTTTTTTGTTTGTTTCTACCTGCAGGAATCTGGAAACCCAGCAGAATCTCCATGACAACCAAACCAAGCAGCAGGTCCAGACAGCTCGTAACACAGCCTGGCTCTCCCAACTCCTCCATATATTCATCGTTTTGTGTAAGAGAGAAGATGTGCATGTTGTCAGGAAGGGTGACTCTTGAGGCTAACCATGTTCTAAACAGGCAGCGTCAAGGGATGTCGCCTGTGAGGCCTATGAGGTCCTGTCGCCATGTGTTTGTAACCATGGGGGCTAATGTGTGGCTTTGGAAGCTAGCTCTAGGCATTTCATATATTTCCAGTTCATATAGCTCCCACTTGGTTCCTCAGTGTTGTGAACAAATCAAGCAAATCGTAACACTTTATGTGTATTCAGTCTAATTTATTTCTGATTTTGTTCACATTTTTTAAAGGTTAATAAAAAGTTTGTGGTTCATTTCGTACACATTATGTTTCACGGGATTCTGGGGCAGCCCCTGTGTGCTCTCTGACAGCTGCCGTAAACAAATAAGGGAAGCAGTGCTCTCTGAGCCGTGACGCCAACATCTTATTTTTAATCAGTAAGACTACCTTTCTTCAAGAGCATGATGCTGTTCTGGACAGAAAAAGGAGTTGGAGTCTGGGAGACAGCTCAGATTTTAAGATGACAAGGTAGATTCTGCAAAAATCAGAAGTACGTCACAGGCCAGAAGCAGAATAATTGATGGAGTGTGCAATGACAAGATGTCAAAAAGGAAGATGATCACAGTTTCTAAATAACGGATGCAACTTGTGGAAAACAAATATATATTTTTTTTCACAATGTTAGCACACCTTGATCTGTATCAATATGTATTGTGGCAATTGTCTTAGCTTTGAAAACTGTAATCCACAATAAAGGCCTGGTAGTTTAAGTTTGAAGAAGTCAATGAAACAGTTCGGCTCAAAAAAAATGAAACTGAGCTAGTTCATGAAGGAAAACATAGAGTGAGAAAAAAGTTTTCACTTGTTCTGTGTGGAAGAAGTGATCTCAAGAAGGCATACAAGTGTAATAAACTGCTTTTTGTGATATTTTTTGGCAGTTCCTTCCCTTTAAAAGATTTTTTTACAGTTTCCAATATGCACTTATTTTAACTTTCCTGTTAGTTTTTACTTTTGTTTTTTATTGTAAACTTCATTTGACAAACCTCTAGGGTGCTGCAAAAACATAACAGTAAATCAAGTACACAGTGATCAGATGTCGATGAAACAATGAAAATGCAATAGACATTTTTTTGAACATCTTAAAACAAATGCATTTTTTTTAGTCTGCAACACTTTAAGACTTTTAAGTTGATTCACCATTTGTTTTAAGAACAGTATCAAGTATTTGGAAACTAAGGAGGATTAGATTGGGCAGCACGGTGGCGCAGTTGGTTGAGCTGCCGCCTCTCAGCGAGCAGGTCGACAGGTCAAATCCGGGGGCCTTTCTGGGTGGAGTTTACATGTTCTATCCGTGCATGCTGGGTTTCCTCCCACAGACCAAAAACATGCATGTTAGGCTGATTGGTAACTCTAAATTGTCTCTAGGTGTGAGTGAGAGAGTGAATGGTTGTTTGTCTCATTTGTCTCTATGTGTCCCTGTGATGGACTGGAGACCTGTCCAGGTGTCCCCCGCCTCTCGCACAGTGATAGCTGGACATGGGCACCAGTGACCCCCGTGACCTGAAAAGGAAGAAGTGAGTAAAAGATAATGGATGGATGGATGGATGGATGGATGGATGGATGGATGGATGGATGGATGGATGGATGGATGGATGGATGGATGGATGGATGGATGGATGGATGGATGGATGGATGGGAGATTAAATTAAAACTTAACTCTTCTAATATGGATTCATGAAAAAAAGAAGAATGAAATAAATTTCAAATCTCATCTAAATAGTTGATTCATAATAGAACAAAGTAAATGTTACAAATATCTAATGTTTAAACTAAAAGATTGTGCCATTTTTGAAAAAAAATCAAAGGTGTAAATTTTAATTTGATGGCAGCAACTGCTCTTAAAATGTTTGGGACAGGATAAGTTTAGCACGCCCTTTTCTTTTAACAACAGTCTTAAGAAAAGCATTTTCTTTTCATGAGAAACTGAGGAAAGTTGCTGAGTCTTTGGGGGGTAATGTCCCGTTCTTGTTGTTCAACAGTCCTGAGCCTTTTGATTTGATATTTTTTGCAACATTGTTTGCTGGATGGATCATGTTGTTCTGAAATCTGTCTACTTTTCTACATTGATGGAGCATTTTCTGATGTGTCAGCTGTCCATGCCAGAAACACTAATGCACCCCCATACCACCAGAGAGGCAGGCTTTGAACTGATAAAAGGCTGGATGGTTCTTCTTCTCTTTAGTACAGAAAATGTAATTCAAAAATAATTTAAAGTTTAGATTCAGCGGACTACAGAACAGTTTTCCACTTTGCCTCGGTCCATTTTAAACGAGCTTTTGTTCAGAGAAGACAGCAGCGTTTCTGGATGACATCATGTTTACAGACAATCATTTGCAGAAGTGTTCCTGGGCATATTTAAGGATGTCCACAGCAAAATCTGACCAATTTTCAATTCAGTGAAGATCATGGACATCCAATATTGACTTTCAGCCTTCAGATTCTTGATATCTTGTCTAATCTAATCTATCTAATATTTTGACCAGTAAGATATTTAAAGTCTTACACATTTTCAATTGAACAACGTTGTTCTCAAATTCTTCCACTATGTTTAGATGCAGTTTTTTAGACTGGTGAACCTCTGCCCATTTTTACTTCTTAGAGACCCAGCCTCTCTAAAATGTTCTTTTCATATCCAGTCTTTTAGCTGATCTGTAATTAAGCTTATTAGTAGACAAATGTTGGAAGTGGTTGCACAGAGGATAGAGAAGGTGGGCCTGTGATCAGAAGATCACCGGTTCAACTCCGACAACAACAACAAAAATGTGGGTGGGAAAGGTGAAGCACCCACACCTGCCTCTACCCTCATTTGCCCCACTCTGGGCCCTTGAGCAAGGCCCTTAACCCCCACCATCTGCTCCCCTGGATGCCCTAGATGGCATTAGTAACACTTACCATATTTTACAGCGTATGTCACAGTTTTTTGCATAGATTTGTCAGTCCTGCAACTTATACGCCGAAGCGACTTATATACATTTTTTCCATATTCACAACGCAGTTTTTGACTAACTCTTTAAATTTCAAAGAACTGCAACAGCGAGTCCTCCCATGTGCGCTCGTTTCACTCAGCTGGTGCAGGCGGAAGAACGCTGGAGAGCTTGCGGCTCCGGCCAAGATGGATAGATGGCACTGTGCCGCCCAGGCGAAATGAAGCTGTTTTGAACATTAAATAAACGCATAATAAACACGACAGGTCAGCGTAACGCATAATAAATGCGACTTATACGCTGAAGCGACTTATATATGCTTTTTCCTCTTCATGATGCTTTTTTGACTGATGCGACTTATACTCCAGAAAATACGATACTTTGAACTGATCCTATGTTTTTGAGATGTGGTGCTGCCACCCAATTCAAAATGACCTTATTTATATTTTATAGAAAATTTTACAACTTTTAGTGTAAACTTGTGGTATGTTTACTATGTTCTGTTGTGAATAAAAGTTGACTTTATTAGATTAGCTAACCATTACAGCCAGTTTTCAATTTTTTATTATAATTTTTTTTATTATTATTATACAAAATTTCTTTGTTGGGCCTGGAATTAACAACTCAAAACACATTTTTCAGAACAGAGTGAAGCCTGCTGCAGGCTATGTCAACTTATAGGATTTGTTTGGGTATTCCAACTATGTAGTTAGTTGTGTAACAGTTTGCACAAGGCTTGAGTCGAGCTCACGCCATAAGAACTTGAAAACGACCACTTAATGTGTTTTGTGCAGCTTACATTTACTCCACGACAGCAAAACTCTATTTTTAGGGTTAATTTGGACGTAGCTTCATATTGTGCCTCTACGAATGGAACACCGGATGTCCAAAAATCTTTTGACATCATCATCATCATCATAAGCCTGCCTAGTGTGACATTCCTACTATCAGTTGAATCTAATCACAGCCCTGTGAGTCGTGATCTCCGTGCGTGAGCTGCGTGTCATCTCTGACGTTACAGGCCCGCCTACATCTGTGTCTGAGTCTTTCAGTGACAGAAGAGAGGCTCTGGAGCCGCTGCTCAGTGTAAACACTCTCTCTCTCTAACACACACACAGACAGAGAGGAGGTGGACTATGGACACCGGAGGAGAACACTGAACATCCAGGAAACATGCCTACCACCCTCGGTGGCAAAAGGAAACTTTCCATTGTCTGCTTTTTGCTCCGATGCACATATTCTCAGGTGAGAGACTGCATGATGAGTGTGGATTTTAGCTCCATGAATTAAAAAGACAGTTGGGATATATTTATGTGAATGCACTGCACGAACAGTGAAGTATTTGGAGTGTTGAGCAAGTCTTGCAGCAGATTTGTGCTAATTTAAAGCAACCAGTTTTAATACTTCACATAAGAATTTTATTGTGAGCAAATAAAGCTTTTTTTTTTTTTTGAAGATATTGATTTAATGCAAACTAATTCACAACCATTAGGTGTAATCATTAAAACAGTTGTGCATTCAGCTTCATAAAGCGTTTGCAACAGACTTAATTAAAACATAACTACAGTAATTACAAATACTTTAAGAATGCAACAGCTGGATATTGAAGGCTCCATGCTGTTTGTTGCAGGTGTTTTGATGGGTTGTGGTTTGTTTGTTCGACCCCTGGGGGGTTGCACTCATTTGGGTATTGCACCAGAGTTGTAGCCTGCGGAGCTTGTGGGTACGGATGTGTGAAACATTGCAATTGGTAATAATGGTGCTCAACAGAGGGCCTGTGAACAGTGGGTATGCAGACCAGGCTTTTTGATTGTAACAATCACAGGATTCTGGAACATTTTTTCATTTTTTCTTCATATATATTAGTATACTATAGAAGAGTCAGTGTGGCACATAGATATGCACTACACCACGCTGCATAGATGACACTAACTCTGAGATGACTTCTGTTGGGACTTGGCGCTATATAAATAAACTGAATTGAATTGAATAAGCAATGATGAAAAGACACAAACACCAACACAAAATTTAAGACAGATTCAAAGTTTTGCTCATAAGTTAATAGTTACATAAGGGATTTGAAACATTACAAGGAATAGGAACTGTCTCGTACGTTAGCTGTTGATTTCTGCAGCAGAATCATCACAAAGCAGCTGTGAAGACGGAAATGTTTCTGGGAACGCTTGTCCTGAGTCTGGTTCTGTTAAAGGTTTCTTCCTCACGAGGGAGTTTTTCCTTTCCACAGTCGCCTTCATGCTCGCTCAAGATGAGAGTCTGTGATGGAGTTAAATTCAAAGCATATAATATTAAATTATTTTTATATATGGATTGTTCTGTTCAGTGCCCTCAGATGACTTCTGCTGTGACTTGGCACTATATGAATAAACTGAAATGAATGGAACAGCTTCATTTTCAGCACCTGAATTTATCAACTCAGCCCCAGGATTCTTGCCGTGTGAATTAGAAAACAGAAGTGACTTGCATTAGTAATGGCATCCGGCCGATCATCTGCAGCTGTGATTTCTATGAGTCATGCGTGAGCTTCAAAGTCTTCTCCACTCTCACTATTACTGTACGTGCGTGAAGCTGGGTGTTACAGTAAAAGGGTTGGTTGTGAATACACAAATTAAAAAAGGCGGGAAGGTGAACGACGGAGGAATTTATTGAGTTGATGTTTTCACTGTGAACTAATACCAGTAACAGAAACAAATGGGTTGGTCTTTTTACTGTTTCAATGTGTGTATCTGTGCAAAACGTGATCAAACCAAGTGTCGCATCTTGAATTTGAATTTGAAAGTTGCTCTGAAGTGTCACTCAACACCCTATCAGCTGTCAGACTTTACTTCCTGTGGTGCTTAGCTTTTCTTTCCTGCAACATGTCTATCTTTGGTTGTGTACAGGTAACAAGAAGCCCACACAACTGCTGTGCCAAAGACATTTTTGAGGTAAGCACTGGGAGAAATGTTTATTAAGAGTTTTACTGGGACTTCTTCAAGTAGCTGTAACAAAAGTTTTACTTGTTAGTAAATGAATCACCATGTATTTGAGATTTTTTTTTTTATATTTTAAAGTAGTTTGGTTATGCGTTTGCAGACATTTAAGGATTTGACAATTGACTTGGTGGTCTGTTAGCACAACCAGCAGCAGTTTACACACTTTTCAGCATCAGCTCATCCGCCAATAATTTAGGGTTGAATGTTCGTCAAACTTTCTTTAAATTGGTGTATAATTAAGTAGTATGTAATGTTTAGAGTGGAAAACCTGAAGTATTTTTAATTTGAGCCCACAAAAACTATGAATATTACTGAAAATTATAGCAGTGGAAGACACATTTTCTTTTGATTTGTTTAATTTGTTCATCTTTGCTCTTAACTTAACTTAAAATAACACTTTTGCTTCATTTCTCCCCATAGACAGGAGTTTAAACGAGACATTTCTATCTCCCCTCTACTTCCTTTCTTTGGTGTGGGGTGCAGAGCAAACGCAAAAGGAATAGAAGAAAAGGGAAAATATGCAGGGAATTGAATTGGGAAAGGGCCAGAGGAAGATGGCAACACATGACGCTCCACCTGGGAGACCTTGTTGTTGTTGGAGGAGGAAAGAGGCGAGGGCTGGAGCTGTGTCCTTGGCGACTGAGGAAGGACAGATAATGAAGTGAAAGGATGAGTACAGAGAGGAAACACTCGCCCTCCATGGTGCATTGTTTGTAGGTGGGAGGAGGAGAGACGTGGGGGGAGGAGGAGAGAAGATTCAGAGAAATTTGCCAGCTTCATAAAAAATACATGAGCATATATCAGAGCATGAAGGTGTCACACTTTCTTCTCCCCATGGAGTTAAGAAATGATTTGGCCTTTTGGGTAATTCACAGCTAAACACGTCAGGAGGATTTTCTAAATACATATAAATATAATGGAAGTCAACAGCTGATGTTGGAAGAAGAGGAAGAAGTAAAGCTGAAAAAAGTCAAGTGCAGTTTTCCAGTTTCTCTGCCTCCATGTTGTTTTTAAACTTGTCACTTTTAAAAGGCAACTATTAAAAAGCACACACACGTCATGACCGTAATGCTTCTCAGGAGCTGGTGACTGGTAAATAAAATGTGCTTTGCAACAAAGATCTTGTGTGATGTGTTAGAGGTGGAAAGAGTACAAGTACTGTTACACTGCTTAAATTGTACTCCGTTACAAGTAAAAGTATCGGTGTTATAAAAAATACTTAAGTACAAGTGCAAAGTACTTTTGTCAAAAACTACTCAGAGTATTAATTACTTTTTAACCAATTGATGTTTGATTGTGTTATCAACAGAAGTCATTCAGTTTGATTTACTGTATATAACAGCTACATTCAAAGCACATTTCTCAGATGCTCCATCTTATTTTAGTACCAGTTAAACCAATGGCAGTGACAATATCTAAGATCTTTGCATACTTAGCCAAACTAATAACCCACACATACAAACAATAAAACAGAATCACACAGGTAGCTGTAAAACATCGTATACCACAATATGTTTCTTGAGATTAGATGCTGATACCTCGTCATTTTCTCTGTTGACAGTGTTGTCCTCTGTCTCCATTTTGGCTTTTCCTCCAAATCTTCCGTCCATAAATGACTCTCTGCTCTACGGAGTTGTACTTTGCTTACGTCATAGGTAACTGGCGTGTTCGCGATCTGAGAGCCTTGTTGGTACAAAGATGCAGACGAACGGTTTGAACATTAATTTAAATTGTGGCCGTACTCAGTAATGACTTCTGATTTTAAAAGTAGTGAAGTAGATTGCATGGTCTAAATTGTACTTAAGTTTGAGTAAAATTACACACTTGAAAGAAATACTCATAAAAGTTCAAGTACCCCCCCAAAAAAAAAAAATCTACTTAATTACAGTAATGTGAATATTTGTAATTGGTTACTTCCACCTGTGTGTTAGGGATGACCCTCAGCTACTAACACACCAAATTATATCACAAAAAGTGACAGTTTGATGAGCTGTGGTGGCCATCTTGAATTTGGATGACTCAATCAGTGACTACGTCCAATGATTATTTTCTGAACGTTTTAATAAAATTACTCCAGTGGTTCATGAGATATTTTGCTAACACTCATGCACACACAACACTTACCCAGGAGATAGTAAACTGCCTGATAACTTTATTGCCCTAATAAACAAACGTTTGAGGTTCTGAGTCGTGTTTGAAAAGGCAATCCTCTTAAAGCTCATTTAGTTTCTTGTACTGCAACAACTGATTCTGCTACAAATGCAACATCACTTTTTTTCTCACGCGTCTCTTTCGTGTGTGCACGTTTAGTTTGTATTTAAACGAGCTGTCGTTTCTTCGAGCTCTTTTCACCTGTTCCTGTAGCCGTGCTGCAGCAGATTTAATGAAACGTGTTCATTTTACCACACAGCGACTGATCACAACCACTTCAAGCATGTAATTCACGGCTCTGAGCCTAAACTAGACTCTGAAGTCGGCGTTCGTTTACGAGGAACATTCTCACTGGGGGGTGGGGGGCAGAGCTGGTGACGAGAGTCAGATGTTGAACAGATGTGTGTAAACAAGAAATTAGGTAAAGCTAAACTAAAATGAAATTCTGCTAACAGAGTGTGATCCATGGGAATTTTTCATAGGATTTTTTTTTTTAATCACAGTTTTTCTTTACCTTTATTTACTTCGTTATTTACCTTTAATCCCCCTTTTCTGTTTCTGGTACGCAGGACATGACTCAGTCCTGGCCATCCCAGCAGGCCTTAGGGGGTGAGCAGCGAATCCTCTACAACTACAAGGTGTGTTTTCTCTTTCTTTCTTTTTTAAATTAAAAAGTAACTATTCATGGGTACATGTTGAAATACTGTTATTAGGATTAGTGTCAGTTTGGGAGTAATATTCCCTGTCGTCTGAAGTACACTCCAAATTTCTGTCCAAAATGTCAATCTTGAAGACACATTAGTCATCTTAGCTGCATTGTGGGTAAATTAGGCTATAACTGGTTTAGACAGGAAAGATGATGACTGGTGAATACAGTGCATGTTCATGATGGGGCCTTCTTCTCACTGTTCAGTTGGCTCTTTTAATTTATACTCTTTGATTAAATTGTTAGTTTGTTTTTTTGGCCTGTTGTAATTTACAATCCACCATCAGCTAACAAAATGAATTTAATCAAATTAACAGTGTTAGCGACACTATTTTTAGCAGCATTGAGGTCAGAACCCATTTACGTATTTCTAGCAATTAAATTTAATAGCTCTATTTCTTACATTAGTCCCACATTAGTCATCTTTTTCAATGTTTTTACCACTTGATACTTTTTTAATTGTTCTGGTTTTTGCTTGTTGAGATATACAATTTTTTTTTTATCCTTGTGCATCTCACAGAAAACATGTTTAACAGTGAACCTCCACCAATGTAACTAGTTTCTACTGAGCTGTATATCAACGTGAAAGGGTTGTTTATGTTAAACTGTCTTTTCTTGTTCTGAACCTGTGTTTTCCTGGCAGCCTTCAAGAATCAAACTAAACTTGTTGCTTTTTTATTTTTCCAGGATGCAAAGCCGTCATCTGCACATCAAAGGCAGAGTATGTCTTCCCTATACCTGATCAGTTTGCATATTTGATTTGTGCAGTAATTCTCAATCATCACCCCGTTCATCTTGTTCTCCAGGTCAGGGGGATGCTCCGCTACGAGTGGTTCACCGTCACCCTTGTGTGGCGCCTCACAAATCGTAAGTGGGGAAATGAAGAAACCTGATACAACCAGGGTCCTCTAACATAAACCTCTGCTGTGGTGCATGCAGAGACATCACACACATAATCAATTTGTTCCTCTGTGACCTAAAAAATATTTACGAACCTCATCATCTGAACAGACACAAGGAAAGCTTGAGGAATCCAGAGAGCACAAAGGGAACTGGATGCTGTGGGTCAGTTAACAGTGTCTCAGGTAGTAGCTTGGGTCAAAGGTTACCTTATATTCCCGAGAGCTGTCAGTGGAGACTGATGTGCTCCTGTTTGTTAACATTTTACATCCTTCTTTTAATGTGAAACACATGCTCCGTGCAGTGAGTCATCTACGTGCCTTACATTATTTCGCAGGCTCTGTTATGAAACAGCAGGTTTTTTAACTTAACTTGTCAAAAAAGTTTAATTCGTTCATTCATTTGTTCAAGCTGTATTTATACTTGAGAGATCATTAGGAGTCGGTGCTCGTTTTCCAGCACATCCTGTCAGTTAGAAGAGCAAAGAGCAAAGAATACAACAACTGACAGAGGAGACATGTTGACAAAGAGAGGGCAACATCACAGCTGGTTAAATAATAAAACCCTTAGAGCTTCCTGTTAAGAGAAATTTGTTGAAATAGATAATTACATTTTTAATTAAAGCACATATAGAAATGAAACTTGTGGTTGTACAGTTAGATATCAAATTAAATGTAAAACTGAAATGAAGCTACATACAATAATTAAAACTCTTTTAAGGAAGATCTGAAAAAGAGCTGTTTCAGACAAAAAGGGACAAGAGCTGCTGCAGCAACAGATGGTGAGAGAAAAATATTATAACTCTGAGGATGCAGGTTGTGTCAGGAGGGCATTCAGTGTAAAACAACTGCCACATCAGGCAAGCTCACTGTGGCCACTGCTGCAGCAGGGAGCAGCCAAAAGAGGAAAAAACACCTACGTCTGTTTGCATTAACTGATTATGAATGAAATGTTATGATGTTCTTACTGGCAGTACTTGGGCAGTACCAGAAGTACAAAAGCTAGCTGCTTCTGGCAGCACATTTGCTTTTAAATAAGCACAGAAAACCATGTAATGTACAGTATATGACCGTGAAGTGCATAAATAATGGTGATGTAATAGGTAAAGCAATATATTCATTAGATTAAGCGTTACTTTTAAAATATTCAGTTTGTTGCCAGTTCACAAAATAGATTAAATTCTTGCTCATGTTTTTGCCGTCCTTGTACTTTTTGTTCTTGTGTTTACAGATAAAACTATAGACTGTACTATACAGACTCTGGTTCATGTACTGTACAGTAAGTAGTCCCTCGCTACTTCGCGGTTCGTTTATTGCAGACTCGTTCTATTGCGGTTTTTCAAAACAAGACTGGACATGACACACAACTAGCTGATTGATGGATAAGCTGCATGATCGGCATGGAATTTTTATTTAAAATATATATTTTTAATTATTTAGCACCTGCTGCACATTTGTGCAGCCCATATGGCAGGATAAACTTCCTGCTGCAGCTGAACAGCTGATTAGCTGTTCACTGTACAGAGTGGAGAAGTGGGCGTGGCCAAGAGCACCTGCAAGTGGCAAAGAGCAGAGGAAGCAGGGAGCAGAAATCATGACATTCTGTGCTCTTTTAGAGTTTAGAAACATTGTTTAGAATTTGCAAGAGTGTGGGAAGGGTTTGCTACTACTTACTACTTGTATTACCATTCCTACTTCACGGTTTATCACTTATCGCGGGTCTTCAGGGCACGGACCCCTGGCGATAAATGAGTGACTACTGTATACAGCTTACCTGATGTGTAAGTTTTATGAGCATGCTCTACATCTTACTTCCATTTTCTTGTGCATTTTCATGGCAGTGTTCCAACGCAGGCCTGGCATGTTTACTATAGCAATTTTGGTCTATTTCTGTGAGGATCAAAACATTTCTAGAAGCGTTGGGTTTATGAAAATATTTTTAGAAAGAACAAATTCTCCATCCTTTCATCCATCTATTATCTTCTGCTTGTTCCGAAGTCAGGGCAGCAGCTTGAGCAGAACGAAAATCTCTTTCCACAGCCACATCTTCCAGCTTTACTTGGAGAACTCTAAGGCGTTCCCAGGCCTACCGAAAGACACACATGTCCTGGATTTCCCCCGGGATCTCCTCCCAGTTGGATATACTGTACCAAGAAAACCTCCCTAGGGAGGTGTCCAGAGGGCATCCTTGCCAGATGCCAGAATCACCTCTACTGGCTCCACTTGATGTGGAGGAGCAACAGTTTTACTCCAAGTCTTTCTTGGATAACTGAACTTCTCACTCTATCTCTAAGGGAGAGTCCAGTTACCCTGGAGAGAAAATTAATTTGAACTGATTGTATCCATAATTTTGTCCTTTTGGTCATTACCTGAAGTTCATGACCGTAGGTAAGGGTAAGAATGTTCTAGAATTGCGCCACTCAAGGTGGCTGCATGTTGGAGCAGCTCTGTTACTTTCATTCTGAGATTTTGCTTTTGGAAACTTTAATTCCTCTTTTTCTGGATGTAAATCACATCTTTTGGACGATTGTTTCCTCTGGGATCAGATGCTGTGCAGCTGGAAGGACTTTTACTGAGACTTTTTTAGTTTTGGACATTTGTCCAAAAAGCACAGATAGAAATGAAACAATTGTCCACATTTGGACATTTCCACCACTGCACACTGTATTAACTGGTTTACTGGACATCATTAACTTCACGCAGACTCTCTCACTGGTACATTTTCATCTTTAAATCACTTCTTGGTCTGTTGCCTTCATACATCTCCTCCTACATGTCTCTGCGTGAGTGCAGCTACAGCGTGCGCTCTCAGGACATTATTACCTGCAGTGTTCCCTCAATGAGGACTGAACTAGGCAAAAGAGCCTTCTCCTATTCCGCTCCAGTTTCCTGGAATATCTTACAAAAAGATTTGAAGCTCTCGACCTTGACCTCTCTAAGTGTCTTTAAGAATCTGTTGGACACCTGGCAGGGTCCAATGCTGACATGTTCCTGTTGTTAGTTTTCTACATTTGTCTTGGAATCTAGCTGTTTTTTGTTTTGTTACCTTTTCCTTTTAGCCATCCTATTTGTTAAAAAAAAACAAAAAACTGTAGTATGCTTTTTTTATAGCTGTTTATTGTTATTGCTGTTGTCCATTGTTGTCATCTTTCTTTGTTGAAATCAGGTGTCTCTTGTAAATGAGTCCTCGAGGCTCAATGGGATTTACCTGTATAAATAAAGGTTGATTGATTGTTATGATGCGTAAGCATGGCAACAAGGCAGTTTTCTACAACCAACAGCAGCTGATTAACATCTCAAAAGCTCAAATAAGATCTCAACTACAGCCCCAAATCTCAAATGAGTTGAAAGGATGTTCTGTGGACGCATTCTCATCTACCTGCCGGCTGTGCTCGAGTGCCTGACCACTGAGATCCTGGAACTAGCAGGAAACATGGCTCATGACAGTGAAAGGACAGGATCGTCCCTCACCTACAGTTGGCTGTCCGCAGCGATGAGGAGCTCGGCAGACTGCTGGGAGGAGTGGCCATCGCTCTGGGAGGAGTTCTGCCCAGCATTCAGGCGGTCCTACAGCCCGAGGGGAACCGAGAGGCCATCCGAGTCTGGGTGGACGGATCGGACTGCATCTGCAGCCAGTTTCTTAGGATCCACTGTGGGATGGACCTTTACAAGAGATCCTTCCTGTCTACAGCCATCAGCATCTATAACATCTCTTAATGAAATGAGGATAACAAGTTACAACAACAAATAATTTCCCTTTGGGATTAATAAAGTATTTTTGAATTTGAATTTGAACATAGACTGACCGATAAACAGAGAGCTTCACCTTGCAGCTCAGCTCCCTCCTCACTACAATGGACCGGCAGAGAGTCAGCAATATTCTGTTAGCTGCACTGATGCATACAAAAATATTATTTTAGAAAAATAACATTACCATGTAGACACAGGCTATATGTTATCAATAAATTTTGTTCAAGTGAAATTACCACCCTGAAGAGTACAACTGTCTGGTATTAGGAGAATGCTGGTGTCTGAATAGTGTTTCGTTTTGTGTCTTTATGTTCACAGGATGCTCGCCGATGACCTAAAACTGAGCAGTGATGATGATGACTCTCAAAAGGTAGGTAACACAACCTCTGAAAATTTCTCACATATTATATTGACTTGATTGGAACTGGTTTTATTGCTTCCAAAAGGAGGCCACACTAAAGTGTGAGGAAGCCATATACTATGAGTACAGAGAAAGAGAAAATGCAAGAGGTAGAAAACAGAAATTCTAACTGAAGTAGTTTTAAATTCTTGTTTTACTGGTAGTGTTTTATGGCATGTTAATTGAGAGTATCCAGTGTTATTAAATTGGGTGTAACAAGTCATTTGTTGTACAGTGGCAGTAGAAATCAAATTTGTGTTGTTTTTTTTTTTCCTTTAAGGCCATTCATGAGTCGGCTTCCTGGGACAGACACAGGTACTCACATGGATCAAATCTTTGAAAGTTTTATATGAGTGTTTGTGTTTAGAAATGAGTTCATCTGTGTGACTAATGTTGCTCCACGGTACTGAGCTTCCACTGACCCGTCTCTGGTGTTTGTGTTGAATGACAGCCTGTCAGCACAGCGAGCACACACATATGGCAGGAGGGTGAGACATTCCAGCTCTGAGTCTTCAGACTCTGACTCCACTTCCAAGTCGAGCAGCAGCAGTCTTCATTCTCGAAGTCTTAGCCAAAGTCCAGAAGAAGCTCACCCAGATCCTCCATCACCTGCCAACACACAGCCACCATGCAACAACAAGGAGGTAATAAACACCGCAAACTTACCGGTATCTTCATTTCTTTCCCTCGTCTGTTTTCCGTATTTTTCTCTGTATAAGTCACAATTTTTTTTGCTTAATTTACATGTCCTGTGACTAATACACAGAAGTGACATATTTATAGATTTTTTTCCCATATTTAAAAACCAATTTTTGGCTGAGATATGACCGTTTTCATTCATTCTGACTGAAAAAAAAAATTGAACACTACCATTTTCAGCCGCTAGATGGCACTCCAGTAGTAAAGCATGTCGTATAATTTAATAGGTAAATGTGGCTATTAATGACACAACTGGCTTGCCATAGACTGCCACCTTCGTCTGCCTGGAGCAACCGAATCAGCTTCATTTTGCTGCGCTGCCCCGGCAAAATGCAGCTGATTTCCTTTTTCATTTCATTTATTTATTTCTATAGCGCTTTACACAACCACGGTGATTGTGACCAAAGTGCTTAACAAAAATTTGACCATCAAAGTGCATTAATTAAGTAAAAGTTCAACTGAGACACACCTTTACTTTAAAGTCGAGCTAACAAATAAATGTTTTAGGCGCTTATCTTGTTAAATTTTGAAGAAATGGACAGCGAGTCGCCCTCTGCGCGTTCATGTTTCAGCGTATCGGCTTTTGAAAATGCAGCTGATTTGACCGTCAAAGTGCATTTATAAAGTAAAAGTTCAACTGAGACAAACCAAAGTGCGTTTATTAAGCAAAAGGTAGACTGAGACACACCTTTACTATAATTTCAAGCAAACAAACAATCGTTTTTAAGTGTTAATCTTGTTGAATTCTTGTTGAAGTCCTCCCGTGAACGCTCCCGCGGCCAACATTTAGCAGCCCATCGATTTTTGGCATTTCTGTGTTGTCAACAGTGACGCGTAACAAACGTGTTGCGTCAGCGGTGATGCATAATAGATGCAATGTATACGGCAAAGCGACATACAGTATTTATGGATTTTTCCACTTTATTAGACTATTTGGACTGATGTGTCTTATAGGGCGGTGCAACGTGTACGGCAGAAAATACGCTATTTGCCTTTGGATGAAGTCTCTACATGGAGTGATGGCCTTGAGGCAGTTGACAGCAGGTGTGGGGAGGGTCAGAGGATTGAGGAATGCTTGTGAGTTGGAGGAACGCAATTGGAGGTCAAGGGGCAGAGGTAGCTTTGGGAATTAGTGTCTCAGTGGTGCCTTGGCTGAGTCTTGAGGAAAGCCCTTTAGGTGTGGAAAGTCATCAAGAACTGTGTCATACTAGAAAAACCACAGAAGACAAATTGTGTTTCATCATCTCAAATAAAGACAGAGATGACGTGCAGAACGTGGCAGCCTCTGGAGGCGCATGACATTATGGGAGTTGAGATTTGTCCTGTATACAGGGGACAAACCTGCTCTTTTTCTATGAATGAAAGGCCCTGTTTAGCCAACTGTATTACAGAACATGCTACTTTGGGTCCCTAAAGAGAGTGAGGGTGTGTGTTTGCTGGGGTTGGGGTTGGGGGGGGGGGGGACTTGTAGCATGTGTTTTTCATTTGGTGTTTGAGTGTCTCCTAGGGAAAAGATGGGGGTTGGAGTTGTGGAAGCAGAGCAAATCCAGAGTTCCAGGTAGTGTGAGGAAAAAAAAGAGGGAGGAATGGAAGAGAAGAAGGGAGGGGAGTCGAGACGATACAAGAGATGCAGTGTCTTCACTGAAACGAGTGTGTGGGATGAGGAGAAGAGGTGGAGGGTGGGTGCCGATGTTTGACTTGTGGAGTTTAATTTAGCTTCTGGTCAGTCTGAAAAGGAGAAGACGTAAAAGGGAAAGAAGCTTGTTCTCCAGTAGTAAGTGCTTTCTTTGTATTGAATTTGAGATCAAACTTTTTAGTTATTGTTTATCTGAAATTATTGTAGTTTAAGAGTCAGTTGTCAAGGAAATATTAAAGGAAGTAGTGACATAATTAGGTCAGGGTTAGGGTGTACTGTAAGCAAAAAGGGAGCCTGCTGCTACTGTGAGTCCACGTAGTTAGGCTATTGATAGCAAGATATGAAATGGAATAGCCTACTTTCCATTTCTGTTGCATGGTTTTTTAGACATTTTTCTTAATCTGGGTTTTATAATTTGACTTTAGATGATATGTTTGTTATGAACTGTGACTTTGACTTTGAATGGTTTTCTTTGAATGTTCAACATTGAGTTATTTCTTTGGAGAAAGTGTAATTTAGTTTTATGTTAGCAGATAAACATGACTCAAATTTGTACCGATCAAATAGTTTGTAGTTATATAATTCTCTATAATATTTTAAAAAGTTTAAAAAACAATATACTACATGGAGTTTATTAATAATAAATCATAATTTATTTGAATGAAAACTAATATCAAAAAGTGATCATTACGTTTTTGAATTTCATGATATTTTATTTTACCTAATCAGTTAAAACAAATGAGCACAGCTCTCTGCTCCACACAGAGGGCTGTGGTAGCTCGGTGTCTGTGGTTGCGTCAGGAAGGGCATCCGGCGTAAAAATAACTGCCAAGTCTTCATGCGACTTAGTTCACTGTGGTGACCCCTAATGCAGGGAGCAGCCGAAAGAAGAAGAAGAAGAAGAAATTAAAACAAATGAGCAACAGGTTAAGGTTAGAGATAACAAATAACTAAATTCGGCTTTGAGGCTAAAATTTCTAAAAAGCATTGTAGTATGGTGTCAGCTCTTGTAATTAGAAAAAAAAAATCGAAATATTTTAAAGACAGTGTCCTAAGAAGTTTTTTTTTTTTTTTTACAAAATTATTAGTTACATAATGCCTGATGTTCCTGAACTTGAGGATTGTTTTAAAAATGGTTATTTATTAAGAAATCTATAATGTGAACTAACAACACAAACCTATGTCGAGTTTAGGAGTCATAATAATGCCTTAATGTACTTTGTAGTCATTATCAGGTCAGTATTTAAAAGAATTAAAGCAAAAAAATATTTCCAGAAGAAATATTGATCAAGACCACTTTAAAATGACAAGAAAGTCTAAAGATGGGCCAATTATTTTGCTCAGAACTGTAGTTAAGTATAAAATACCTGTGTACATATTCTCCTTTAGCATACTGTAAGCCTTACAGCCAACAAAGATCAAATTCATATATAAACATTTGCCATTTTGTCTCTTTTGCTCTGCTTAAAGACTGTTCATCCCTCTGCTACCCAGTGGCAGTTAGATAAATGGCTGAAGAATTCCAAGAAAAAATCCACCAACGCTGTTCAAAATCCCTCACAAAGCCTTCCAGAACACCAGCTTTCTCCTCACACCCAGCGAGCCCCATCTCCAGCCAGGTCATGGGACAGCAATCAGGAGTACAGCCCTAGCCAAAGTCCTATACCTAGCCCACAGTTCAAATACAGCCACAGCAGCCCCATACCCAGCCCTGGTTACAGTTACTGTCCTAGCCCCAGTCCTTTCACCAGCACCTGTCCAAGTCCTTCCCCTAGTCCAAGGCAAAGCCTTGTTCCAAGTCCAGTTCTAAGTATTTGCCTCAGTCCATCTGGGAGTTCACGAGCCAGCCGAAGCCCAAGCCCCATACCTAAAGGTCCTCCAAGAAGCCCAAGTCCTACTTTACGTGGCTCTTCCAGGGCTCATCACTACATAGAGGATCAAAGTCAGAACCAAGCACATTCCAGATTAACAACAACCTCCCACAGGCCAAGAATTAGACCATGGATTGCTCCAACACCTACCACCAATTTAAAGAATAAAACCACAAGTAACCTTCAGCATCACCCTTCTCATCAGCACAGGCCTAGGACTGGCCCCATACAAATCCAAGTTCAAAGCCAAAGCAAGCCGAAAGCTCCTGAAGCTTTAACTTCTAATCAAAATCTCAGTCACAAATCTACACCAAACCCTTCTTCACATTTAAGTGTTAAACAGCTTTCTGATGCTCCTAGAGCTAGAAACGCATCCCATTTTGATCAAATCCAAGGTAGCCAATCTAACCACAAGTCACGGCCTGCATTTCAACCACATAGCCCCACCAAATTAAAACACTCAGTGCCATTTAGTCGTGAAATCAGAACTGCTCACAGTTCTCAGTTCCAATCTACCTGTAAATCTACTAGCAATTCTGGTAATGGGTCAACTTCTAAGCCCAGCCCTAGCCTAATACATTGGTCAAAGTTATGGGACCCTAGAACTTCAAACCCTGTACATACAAATAAGTCCCAAAATGTTCAAAAGAAGCTTCAAACTAAGACACAGGAAGTAGACCAGAGAAAATTTCATTTGACCCAAGCAGAGGAGGGAAAAGCTGAGAGAAAGGACAGACATCATCGTGAAAAACAACCTGGGAAACCAGAGAAAAAAGAAGACAGGAGGCTGGCGGAGGAGCAGCTACTGAGACGTCCCTGGATCCAAAGTTCAGTTGAGGAAGAAGAAGAGGAAGAGGAGGAGAAGGCAAGAGAACACCAGAGTGGGAGAAAAGAGGCAGAAAGAGGGGAAAACAGGAGGGAGCAGCCAAATAAATGGCAAACAGCTCAGGCCAAAGAGAGAGGGACTATCAACATTGAACAGTGCCGTCTTCCAGAGGATTCAGACTATCAGGGGAGGACAAAAAAAGGACAGAGATGTGAGGAGGTCAAAGACCTCTCACCCCATCCATCTTCACGTTCTCTAACTCCTCAGAAACCACCCTTCTCATCCTCGTCTTCATCTTCTACCTCGTCCTCTAATTCAGACTCTGAAACTGAATGCCTGCCTCCGACTGACAAAGTTTCAGCAGACTCTACCTCTCACAAGAGACTTACCAAGAAAGGACACCAAGCACCAGGCAGACCCGATGCCCTCAGGCCCAAAGTGATTCATCCCAAAGGAGTAAACTTAAGTCATCCTTGTGAAGGACAGCAAACTGTGGGAAAGCAAAAACTCTACACACTTGTCCCATTTGGACGAAGTGACAAGACAGCTCCCACTTCACAGCGGGGATTAAGAAACCTGGTGGTGCATATAGACCTCTGTCTTCTCAAGAGAGTCCCAGACTGCACTCCAAATCCTTCCATTCAAAAATCCTCCTCTTCTGCTTCTCCTTCATTGACCAAAGACAAGCAAAGAGAAGTTATGAAACACGTGCAAGTCCCTGAGACTTTGACAAAAGAGAGCAAAAGGAAACGCAAGGTAAACAGCAAATGTATTCACTTCCACCCTGTGACATACAGATATGAAAGATTTTAGGCATATTTATGAGGAGAAAGCTGTTGCATAGTTTACAAAAATGTGTTTGTGTGTGACCAGTTGGAGAATGACGTTTCAGACAGAGAAAGCAAGAAGAGCCTTGTTTATCCAAATGACATCTCAGGAAAGACAGAATCCTCATCTCTTAGAGCCGAGAACCTCGTAACTGAGACAACACATAACGGGTAACAATCACATTACTTCTTGTCTGATGAGACGGATACACAGTTTAATACACAGTTTAATTTTTTTCTCTCATAATGTTGCAGGTATCTGGAGGAGTACTTGGACAACAAGAGGCCACTGTCACCCCTGTCTCCCTTGTCTCCACTGCCTCAAAGTCCTGAGACCACCAAACCTACCTCCAAAGCAAAGACAGCTGAGCAGCAGCATGTCCGCACCCAGAAGAGCAAAGACAAAAACAAAGGTCAAGCCGTAAAGGTGCTTTAAACCCCTCCATGTTTGATTTGCTCTGCTGCTTGCATCATTTTTGGCTTATTCAAGCTGTTTCTGTTCAGCCAAAGATGGAGGTGGAGAGTGTAAAAGTATCCAGACAGCCCCAGCCGCCAGCTGAGTCTTCCTGGAGACCTGCAGGTCATGGAGGAGCTGTGCCGAACCATGAAATGTGAGTCCATAGAGTGTCAATGCACACCCAAGGTTACTGATGGAAAAAAATGCACACATTTAATTATGGCTCACTGCCATAGAAAACAGGCAATTTTGTTTCAGGTTACCTTGTAGGGACCAATTTTACAAAAAAAATCATGCATTGTGGGAATCAACTGTTCTTTATGAGGACCAAAGCCAGGTCCCCATAAGGAGAAGTCTCGTTGGGGGGTTAGGGGTTAGGTTTAGGACTACGGTGTGAATTGTAGATGGGTTAGGGTTAGGTATGTACTAGTAATGGTTAGGTTTAGGGCAAGGGTCAGTGTTAGGCTGTAGAAAATGAATGGAAGTCAAAGCAAAATTCCCAAAAACGATACGTTTACAAGAACGTACGCAAGTGTGTGTGTGTGTGTGAGTGTGTGTGTGTTAACAAAAGTTCTCATGAATCCTTTGGTTTTATTCCTCTCAGATACTCAGATACTCTCAGAAAAAAAAAATACTGAATGGACATGAACAGCTGTTAAACTATTAAGATGGAATTCAAGATGGTCATCACAAATAACACTAGCTAACACAAAAATGGCTACCTGTATAACTCAGACATTTTTTTACAGATATTGAGTAAAAGTTAAGTGTGGTACTAGCTGCTTCTTATACCTATCACTTCCTCCAAGCACTAACAAATTGTACATCTTTAAAATGTAAGCTAGCAAGGCAGCTGGCAATGTGTAATCCTTCAAGGAATGCTACTTTTTTAATTGTTTGTGCATTTTTGCATTCATCATTCTAGATCTCATCATGCTGAGTACTACTTACATGAAGCTAAAAGGATGAAGCACCGGGCTGATGCAATGGTGAGTTTTTGATATTTGAACAAATAATATATTACTTTAATTTTCTGCAACTACTGAAGGCATACACTTTAGAAAAATACTACTTCTTCCTTCTAATAAGTGGAATCCATTGACAAACTGTATTATTTGCATTCAATAAGGCATGCATACAGCAAAACCTTACATTTATAAAACATTTTCCCCATCCAGAAACATGACGTTTACTTTATGTACTGTATATGAGTAACATAGAGGTATCTTGTAACATAATTTTGCCAAATAAGGAGCATATGTTGTGACATAAAAAGCAAATGAAAACTATATAAACCTTTTATTTTTACAGTTAACTTGAAGATGAAATTAGCATCAAAATTGAGACTTTTTTTGTTGGGAAAAAGAAGAAGTGGTAGCTATATTTTATTTAAGCATCAGGATGCCATTAAAGCCTGGTCTTTGTGACATGTTTGTGGTGTTGTATCAAACTGTAGGCAGAACAGATTTCTAAAAAAAAAACATGATGTTTCTTAATCTCAATAGGATTGGAGAACCACTCAGAAGTATTTAAAGCGACAATCCACAGTCAGATGGGAATTATATGGCTATCTTTCTCAAGACTGGTCTACCCAACAATTATTCATTAACATATTGTCTAATAATCTGTTTGTCTCACGTGAAAATTGGAAATGTTGAGGAAGCTTTTCACACACTGATTTTACAGCAGGAGATTTTGTGATGGAGATGAGCTGTCACATCTAGAAGTACAAGTGAGAAGGTGTAAGGAAGCATCTCTCGTCAGTGCACAGCAGGCACAAAGTACACTGCACAAATAGCTGTATTTTAATATTTTGTTGTACAGCTCATTAAGAATAACCAATGAGGCTTCTTCTTGTGTTGGTAATAACACTACATGTATCTAAAAGTATAGCCAGCATGAAAAAGTCAGTTAAAGCCAGCAACAAAATAACTCAAAGCCACTGATCTCCCCAGGAAACATGTTCATTCACCTACAGTACATGCTCCAGAAGATTTTCTCCAACAATCACATACTACCTCTCACCTTGCTCATGTCTGGTACACTTTACTAACTGGTTGGATAGAAATGTTCTGTGAGAAGCCTGGAGCAGCTGATATCTAAGTTCTTACATGCATCCTTGCAGAATGTTTTAGGACTTCATTGCATCTTCAGTGTCACAAGGAGACTTTGATTAACTCATAAAAAGATTCTCTAACAATGGGTAATGTCAAATATCTTATTTTTTTTCAGGTGGACAAGTTGGGAAAAGCTGTAAACTATGTTGACGCCGCTCTGTCCTTTATGGAATGTGGGAAGGCAATGGAGGAAGGGCCACTTGAGGCCAAGTCTCCATATACCATGTATTCTGAGACAGTGGAGCTGATCAGGTGAATAATAAAACAAGAACAGAACGAGGCATACTACTCTCACTGACAAAAAGGTTAAGCTCCTAGATAGATTAGTGGAAACTAATGTGACTGCACTGAGATGATTACAATATCAAATCAAATGGTTGCTGGTCCCATGTTAGTAGGGTGTGGCACCTCCTTAGCCCTGGAGACAAGAAGTGATTTCAAATGGAGTATACAGCCACTGAAACCTCCTCTATGACAAGTCAACCCACAGCATTTGTAACTGGCCCACGAGATCCAGCAGATCACTTCTGGGTTCAAACTAATGTCTGACCTGACCACACACAGCTTTTACTAGAGAAAGGTTGGGGAACTTGGCTGGACACACATGACACAGGTGGATGGCAGATGGTGGGTGTCAAGTTGAAAGACTGTGCCAAAGTGCTGTTTCAGAAGGTGTAAAACATGCTGACTCAAGATGATGTCACTCATGTAGCTATGTACCGTCAGCGTCCCCCGAATCCCTACCTGAAGTCATACTTTATGACAACATAATGCCAAGAGTACAACCGATATGTCTGTCCACAGTACTGATAGGACGGGTCCTCTTTCCTCTGTGGTAACATACACACACAATAGACATTCGTAGTAATGTAGAAACAAGATTAATCACTGTACGTGATACATCACTCATCATCAGCCCATGTCTTACAAAATGGCACTATTCCAGATAACTGCAGTCATCTCTGCTAGCTATTGATGACAACTCATACGTAAAACAGTGAATCCATAACTCAAACTGATGCCTGTCACTAAGACACTGTACAGGACACCACAAGGTTTCAACAGTCCAATACTGTTGTCCAATTGTGCAGATGTCATGGGTTTTTTGTAAAGCTGGGTACAAAATAAGATAATCTTCTCTTTGTGTAGTCTGTCTTGGGCAACAAGAAACTCAACCATTGAGTTTCAGCATCAAGCCACTCTGTCAACTGCATGTCCCACATGTTGAACAAATAGATGAAACAACTATTTATCTCATGCAAACCCACAACACGACCCCTGTCAAAGTCCATCAAGTGCTGGTAATGATGTCTGAAGCTACTACAAGACATCTTCTGTGTTTGTTAGATTTCACTTATTGTTTTGGCTGACTTTCAGATGCTCTGACAACTACCTGATAACACTTAAACCACTCCTTTTTCAATCACTCATGCCCTCTGGTGCCCATATTAGACATGCTAACTCCATACAAGTCAAATCATTTACATACCCATTACTGATTTGGAAGTCTACCAAATTATATCCAAATCAAATAATTTAAGTGCTTAAGTATTTTTGTCAAAAAGTGTATTTGCAGTTAAAGACAAATGCCAGGTTTACTGACAGTCATGTGTTTTAAGGTACGCAATGAGGCTAAAGAGCCACTCTGGCCCCGGGACGAAACAAGAAGACAAACAGCTGGCAGTACTGTGGTGCGTATATTAGCGCCTCTGTTTAGGCCACATCTATTTTTCATTTGTGATCTGGCTGAGAGTCTGTGACGTTTGTTTTCTTGCTCACAGCTTCAGATGTCTTGCGCTCCTTTACTGGCAGATGTTTCGCTTAAAGAAGGATCATGCACTAAAATACTCCAAAGTGCTGCTTGACTACTTTAAGGTCAACTAAAAAAAAACACAAGTCAGTTATTGGTATAATGTTTATATTTTGGTTTGGATTAATCCTTGTTTTGTTGTTATTACAGAGTTCTTCCAAAGTGCCTATTACCCCACCTGGTTGGAATGACTCTGGGAAGTAAGTGACTAATCAGTACACCAAGTAATATCTATTTTGCTCCTTCATTCCAGCCACTGAAACTTTACTAAATATCACCATCACTTTGTTGAACATGTATTTTTTTAATTATTATTATTCATAGGGGTACAGATTTCCCACCGTCACTCTCACCTAATGCAAAACACAACAGAAGGGATTCATACTGTGGCAGTAACTCTGCATCTCTTATAAACATCCCCCAACGTATTCACCAGATGGCAGCAAATCACCTGAACATTACCAACAGTGTCCTGTACAGCTATGAGTACTGGGAGGTGGCTGACAACCTTGCAAAGGAAAATAAAGGTAGAAGATTTATATGATTTTTTTTTTACTTCTCTATAAAATATTTTAACTCAGTTTCCATTTTCACATTATTTTTACATTTTATCTATCTCTTTTGTCGCAGAGTTCTTCAACTACTTGAATACTTTGTCTGGGCCTTTGACTCTTCACAGCAGCATTGCTCATGCTGTCCAGTACACCCGACAGGCTCTTCAGTGGATTCGCATTAGTGCCAAACTTAACTAACACCAGCAGAAAGGATTCACTTGAACCCGTCCAGTGACTCTTCAGGGTTTATCTGCTGTAGAAAAATCAAAACTCTGGATTTCTCTATAAACAACCGGAAAACACTGATTTAAAAAAAATGTGGCGTGTGAAATGGACTTGAATAAAATCCCACTGATCATACTTTTAGTATGTTGGGTGCAAACTGGTGATGGAGTTGCGTAACAATGGTCTCTAACCATTTGCCAAATGTACTCTGGATCTCAAAGAACATAAAAAAGACACTTTCCGATTTTGGGGGTTGGGGGTCTTTTGGCCCTAAAACGTTGAGAAAAGGCTTTAAAAAAGTGTGATCATTTACCACTCCAAACAAGGAACATTCTCTTCATGATTCTTACTTTTAAAGAATCAAAAATTTTCTATATTTGTTTTTTTTTATTTTTTTATTGTGCAATATTTGATACATTTTTAAGTGGAAAAATAAAAAGAACGTTTGAAAAACATATATTTGTTTTGTTTTCAAATATTGTGAAATATTAGTCATAATTTGATTTATTTTTTGTTCTGATGCGTGATTAAGATAAGATACTGGTAAAGATGTTTCTCAATGATAATGAGAAAATTTTGAAAATGTCTTCAATTTTCTTAGTATTTAAAAAAAAACAAATTTATGAAATATGTGCCACTTTAGAAGCTTCATAACAAAGTCAGTGTGCGGGAAAATGCTTTATAGTTTTGTCATGAATTAAATATTTCAGTCATCTTGTATTAATATTCTATTAGAGTTGAAAGCTCTCAAATTATCTTAGTGTTCGCAACAAAATATGCTGATTTGCATCTTATAATGTTATTATCTACAACATTGTTTTATGAGTATTGCACAAGGAAGCATGCAGCATTTTAGAGCTGTGCTTTCTGTGAAACAGACACCAAATCCATCTGAAATGTTGTAAGATGGTTGATAGGAAAGAAAATACGCAAAAACAAATATACAATGTTTTCAGGGGTTTCTTTTTTTTTTTTTTCATTGGACGTTTGCAAAAGATTACTGACATAAAATATCTTGGATCTTTTAGAAGGACAATTCTACTGGAGCTGGTGCTATGAGCTCATAAAGATCAGAAATATGGCCGCAAATACAAAACTGAAAAATTTTGTTGCCTTTTCATTCAGTTAGATGAGAGGGCTTTGCTAATATAGACTCTTTTGGGTATCAAACTGTTATTCATATAAAAGAAAATCCAACTCCCCAGACTGAGAATATCAAAATGTGGGTGGGAAAGGCACCTGTCTCCACCCTCGAGCTAGTTCATGTGGCATCCCCTGAAGATAGAAGTAACCAAAAGAAAAAATAATATTAAAGAAAATGATTTTGGTTGTTTTTCATCTTTGGCTTTACTTCTAATACTGAAACACACACTTGAATTACCATTAAATTGGAGTACACTGTGGTAACTTATTTTGCTTCCTGCATATCTGTAAGGAATTGTCTTATTATTTGTCATATCAAGTTTCTGTAAAGAAAACAAAATGGATTTAAGCTATGAAAAGTAACCCTATTGTACTGTCAAAATGAAGAAGTAGAAGCTGTCAACAGGTTTCCTTCAAACATTAACCAACCCCCCCACACACACGCACGCACACACGTGGCGTGTTTGTGTCAGAGCCAGACTCATGAGTCAGTCCAATGGCTCAGAGATCACTGTAACCACCACCTACTGCATCAACATAGACGCTGCAGCATCAGATGTCTGGTGCCATAGCAACAGAGAACAACCAATGAGAGGAGTCTGTGGGGCAGAATCAACAGCAGCATCTTTACAGATGTCAAATACAGCTCTGCATTTCCACACTTGACTATTTTATTTCTCTGAAAAATTGCAAACAGACCACCTGACATTAAAGACTTGGAATACCAAATCTTTCACGAGCCAAAATGCGGTTAAAATAAAATAAAAACACATTTGTTCACATTCTACCTCCTGTTGCCAGTTAATGTCAGAGAGCCACGTGATCACGTGCCCAAAACAAATCGACTGAACATGTAGTTTTATGATTTTCTTTAGCTTTAATATCTCACAGTATCGGTTTTGGGAAACCCATAGTTGTGATACGAATTGTCTTTTCTTTTTTGAAATAATGAATATTTGTTGTCGCGGTGAAGCTGTTGCTGGCTCGTTGTGGCTGCACGTGCCTCTGCGTCACTTCTGCCCTAGAGACACAGCGGTGCCATCTGGGGACAGCGGTGCTTCAAGTCAGCACACAAGGGAAACAAACAAATAAATAAACTCTGGACTAAACTGGTCGATTGGAGGAAAGCATTATGAACACAAATCTTTAATCTGTAAACTGACAACCAGCAGTTCCCTTAACGATATTAGAGTTAGCTTGTGTTGTTGCCCTCAGAGAATAAACAGACTTGTTTGTAAATAATGTAGTGACACGGTAGAGCTTGCATGGTCTGTTGTGGTAAATACATTTACTCAGCTGTCCGCATAGAGGCAGTATTCGTACACAAGCAGCCGGCGGGCTGGCGGGAAACAAGCTAGAAATAACACAAATCACCAAAACGGAACAGAACGTACTTTGCTTTTCACAATAAGACGACGCACGTTACTCTGCAAATGCGTAGACCAGAGCAAAGACGTCAAATGTGTGTAAATTCATCATGACCCTTCTGAATACTTGACATTAATGCAATATGTGCGTAGCTTTATTGACTTCTCTGTATTTTTTTTGCTCCGTAATTCATCGTTTCCACGAAGGTTTTTTTTTATTTATTTTATGTTGAAAAGACATTACCGGATGTTTCGGTTGTTGCCTCGCTAGTTTTGACGCTAACGGAGAGAGAAACGAAGGGATCAGGCGGTTGAAATGGAGAGCGAAAGGACTATGAGCAAGAATGTCCAAGAGACATGGCGTGGCTCCATGACACGGTGAAGGAACCTCACGTCACTAACAGGACTCCTCTGAACAGCGAAGTCAAGGCCTCGGCATCGAGCTGCCTGACTGGAGGGTTTTCAGTTCGCTTTGCTTTGGTCTTCCCTCGTTTAGCCCAAGCAGAAGGCGCACGCGACGTCTCAACGGAGCGGGATCTGCAGAGTATGTGACAAACAGTCTCGTCTGACAGCTTTAGGTAATAAACAAATAAATAAACAGAGACTTCTCTTGGCGAACGGTCAGTGCTCGCTCAGCACTGTTGTTGTTTGTTTACCATTAGCGCGGCGTTACACCTCAAGTTAGTCATGCGCCCTTTTCATTGTTTCCTAGCTTAATTTTTTTTACCAGCATGTTAGCAAGTGCAGTGAAAACACTTCCACTGGTTCTCTCTGACATGGTCCTCACACAGTGCAGCGACATGCAGGATTATGAGATGATTAGAAGAGCTAGGCTAATGTTAGCAGCTGACCACATGGGCTGTGTTGTTATCTACTTGTCAGCAGTGGGGGCATGTTTCACTGGGCTCAAACCTGTTACATAAGGCCAGCCAAAACAACATTTGTCCTGAATTAATATAAATCCATAAATGCAGTTTATGACACTGTTTGTGACACCTTGTTGGCACAAAAGTTTTATAATGAACTTTAAGAATTTTAGGCTTCTCTGGAATGTTTTAATGTAATTTCAGATACTGTTTTGGTTAACCACCAAGGATGTTCAGGGTTTACTTATGAACCTTTTAATTACTTTAGCTTGGCACTTGAGTTGATTTTTGACTGGTGAGAGCTCTTTTCGTATACAGGAAGCTCAGTATGAGTCGAGATGGATGGATGAAGAAGAAAGCTAATAGCAGTGAGGACAATGGTTGGGCTGAAAGGGTGAGTATAAACTCCTATACATCACTATCAGCAGCATAATGCAGTTATGGAGTGTGTGCATTAGTTGGAAAATTAAAAGTTGCCCATTGAGCTCTCCTCTCGCCTTCATGCACATTCATTTTACGACCTGTAAGGATGTAACAGTACTTGCTTGTGTAATGAAGTATAGATTGATTGCACTGATTACTGTAACTCAGACTGTAAAGTTCTAGTTTAACTCAGTTGCAGGTCAGACATCAATAAGACAGACAGTGTAGCCAAAGACTTGATCTTTCATTAAAGCGACAGATGGCACGGAATCTCTTAATAGCAAAAAAATGGGGATTACTGAAGAGGTGCAGAAATGTAAATGAGCCGACCAGCATCAACATTTAAACAACAACCCCTCCTTCACAGGTTTTCACATACCAGTAGCTTTTATACTGTTCTTATCCCTTGTGCCATAACAGCTCTCACTTGTCACTCGTACACTCAGAGAGGATGTACTGGGTCAAGGCTCCAACCCAGTCTTCATCCATCTTTGTTTCTATCTATGTTGGTTCACTGAAAGCATGTCATGTTATCACACTGCCTGATAAGCAAATTTCTACTTCAATAGTAATTTGACCATGTTACTAAAAAGTAGGGATGCACAATATTGGATTTTTTGCCTGTATCCGATATGTTGGTATGTTAAAACTTATTTGACTGATACCAATATTTTGTATATTTTCCTTTGTCAGAACATAGCCCTCTTATTTAGGCTTTTTTGCTACAAAAGTTGTGTAAGAGCTGGTGACAAATATTCAGTAACAGCCATATGCATAGTAGTTTAACTTACCTGTTTTAAATGAAAAGTGTTAAATGTTGTTTATTAGCATTAAATGCTGCAATGCTGTCTCACTTGTGGAGGCTTGTTCCAGGTTCCTAGCTGCAGTGTGGGATCCTCTGCACTCTTGTGCATGAAGGACAGCCTTTTTAAGTTCAAAGTTTTGTCTATCCATTGTGCAGTAAGACTAATCATGCTAACCGGGCTAGCATGACGTCCAAATGTCTGTGGTAAAACTCACCCAACAAGTCATTCTATCAGCTATTAGGTTCTAAATGACGTCGGAAATGACGGCTTGTAACTCGGGTAAGGTTACGTCGGAAAAATATCTCAGACTGGGGACGATGTAGCGAGGCTCAACATAGTCCATAAATCTTCAGAATCCGATATCCTCACCAACGAAAAAAGAAACTTCCACACCACCGACATTTTGAATTTTTCTTTCTGTTGTGAGATCAGGTAGGCGCATGTGACGTCATCATGTTGTGCTGCCGCTGCAGGCATCCTTGTCAAATTCAATTTAAATTCAAAAATACTTTATTAATCCCAGAGGGAAATTATATGTTGGGTAACTCATCATCCTGGTTTCATTAATGAGTTGTTATAGATGCTGATGGCTGTGGGCAGGAAGGATCTCTTGTAGCGGTCTGTCCTACAACGGATCTGAAGAAGCCTCTGACTGAAGACACTTTGTTGTTGTATGACAGTCTGATGAAGAGGATGCTGAGGGTTGTCTATAATTTTCTTCATTTTATGAAGAATCCTTCTTTGTACAATCATCTCCAAAGTTTCTAGAGGAGTCCCCAGAACTGAGCCAGCCTTCTTTATGAGCTTGTTGATCTGTTTTAAGTCACTTGCTCTGGTGCTGCTCCCCCAGCAGATGATGGCAGAAGAGATAGCACTCTCTACAACAGACTTATAGAAGATATGCAGCATCTTGCTGCAAACGTTGAAGGACTTCAGCTTCCTCAAGAAGTACAGTCTGCTCTGTCCCTTCTTGTAGACAGCTTCACTGTTGCATTTCCAGTCCAGTCGATTGTCCAGGTGAACTCCAATTCACGTTTTTCAAGCATCTGGGACAGTACTATGTTGTAAAGACAGATGAAAAATGTATGTCACCGGTTCTGCTATAATTTGTGCAGCTAGACTTAATTTATACTTCACCACCACCTCCACTTCTTCTCCCATGATGGAAATAGTGTTGGACCTGTTCCTGATTCTCCTGAAATCTACAATCATCTCCTTTGTTTTGTTCACATTCAAGATGAGATGATTGTTTCCACACCATGCCACAAAGCGTTCCACCAGTTCCCTGTACTCAGCTTCTTGTCCATCTCTGATACACCCGACCACTGCAGAGTCATCAGAATATTTCTGCAGATGACAGGAGTCTGTTTTGTACTGGAAATCTGAGGTGAGATTTCCAAGGAATGGTGAGAGTACAGTCCTCTGTGGTGCTCCTGAGCTACTGACCACCTGGTCAGACACACAACCCTTCAGTCTCACAAAATGTGGTCTGTTTGTCAGGTAGTCTTTGATCCAGGTGATTGGTGAGGCCTCCACCTGAGTCTTCTGGAGTTTCTGACAAAGCAAATCAGGCTGGATTGTGTTAAATGCACTGGAGAAATCAAAGAACATGACTCTCACAGTGCTGTCTGCCTTTTCTAGATGACAGTGAGTTTGCTGAAGCAGGTGTATGATGGCATCTTCAACTCCAAGTCCACGCTGATAAGCAAACTGCAATGAGTCCTGATATGCGCTTGCTTATCTAGTCAGGTGGGTCAGCAGAAGTCTCTCTAGGACCTTCATGATGTGGGATGTCAGGGCAACAGGTCTATAGTCATTGAGGACTGATGGGTGAGTTTTCTTTGGCACTGGAACAAGACAGGATGTTTTCCACAACACTGGAACATTCTCCTGGGTCAGGCTACGGTTGAAGAGGTGCTGCAGAACCCCACAGAGCTGCTCTGCACAGACCTTCAGGACTCTGGGACTGACACCATCTGGACCTGCAGCCTTATTCCGGTTCAGTCTCTCCAGCTGCTTCCTCACCTGACTTCTGGAGACTCAGAGGGGGGAGGCAAAGGAGGTATCAGCATCTTCTGATTTGGTTGAAGACCAATAAGTAGAAGAAGGGTCCATGACTGAGGTGGTAGATACAATATTTGAGGTGTGACAGGACAGCCTTGGGTCAATGAAGGGTGGTATGTATGTTTGGCTGTGGGCAAGAGAGGAGGCTGCTGAGCTTTTTCCTGAACTGAACCTATTGAAGAATGTGTTCAGTTCATTGGCTCTGTCCAGGCTTCCATCCTTCTGATCCTCCTTTTGCTTGAAGCCTGTGATCTGTTTCATCCCTGACCACACCTCTGATATTGTTCTGTTGGAGCTTGCTCTCCAGCTTCTTCTTGTACACCTCCTTGCTGTTTCTTATCTTGACTTTTAGTTGCTTCTGTGTGCTCCTCAATAATTTCCTATCTCTCTCCCTGAAGGCTCTTTTTTTTCTGGTTTAGCAGTTCCTTCAGGTCAGTGGTAATCCAGGGTTTGTTATTGGGGAAGCATCTCACTGTTCTGGTGGGGATGGTGTTGTTTACACAGAAGTTTATATAGTCGGTCCACACTCAGTCATGGCATTGATGTCCTCTCCATGTGGCTGGCACAGTGCATCCCAGTCTGTAGCCTCAAAACAACCCCACAGGGCTTCTTCAGCTTCCGTTGACCATTTTCTCACTGTTCTCTTTATTTCAGGTTGCCTCTGAACAAGGGGTTTATATTTTGAGCAGAGAAACACAAGATTGTGATCTGATTTGCCAAGAGGGGGTCTTGCTTTAGCGATGTATGAATCCTTGACATTTGCATAAAACAAGTCCAGCGTTTTGTTTTCTCTGGTAGAGCAGCTGACAAACTGTTGGAATGTTGGAAGTATAGCAGAGAGTGTGACATGATTAAAATCCCCAGATATTGCAACAAACGCACTAGGGTGTTGTGTCTGTAGCTTAGCAACCTCTGAGCTGATGACATTACACGCAGTCTCGGCAACAGCATTGGGTTGATGCTGTTAACCCAATGTTTTAATGTCTGTCAATGCAACAATGTCATTGTTTAATCAATGTCCAAAACCAAAATGTTAACCCAGCATCAGTTGCCAAAATATCACTGGTGAACTCTCTTGGCAAATAATATGGATGACAACTTAGGGCTAACAGTTCAGTATCTGGACTGCAGAGACGACACTTCACAGTAACATGTCCAGGATTACACCATCTGTTGTTCACAAGCACTGCCAACCCACCTCCTTTCCTTTTGCCACTTTAAATCTCTATCTGCTCGTATGGTCAGAAAGCCTGGCAAGGAAATGCTGGAGTCGGGGATATGATCCTGCAACCATGTCTCAGTGAAACACATAACAATGCATTCCCGATACTCTGGATGGGACCTTGTTAGGGCTTGAAGTTCATCCAACTTGTTTCCCAGCGATCTCACATCATGATCGATGGAAGAAATGGTTTAAACTGCATTCTTCTCTCTTTCTCCCTCTTCTTTGCTCCTGCTCTGCATCCACGACGCTTCCTTTTCAACTCATTTGGGATTTGAGGCGGTAGTTGAGATCATTTTTGAGCTTTGGAGATGTTAATCAGCTGCTCCCGGTTGTAAAAAAAACCTTGTTGCTATGGTTACGCATCATAACAAATGTCCAAAAGTAAAGATCTTTCTGTAAAAATCCTTCCAGCTGCACAGTATCTGACACCAGAGGAAATAATCATCCAAAAAAAGCGATTTATAACCAGAAAATAGAGGAATTAAAGTTTTCAAAAGTAATATCTCAGAATGAAAGTAACAGAGCTGCTCCAACATGCAGCCACCTTGAGCGGCGCAATTCTAGAACTGGGTTGGTCGCTGGGTTGTCATACAAAAACAGCACCTTTTATATTGATGAGTTATTTTTGATGGAATAGCCGATGTCCAATATTTAACTTTAATGCTAATGTTGGCCGATACCAATACCATGCCGATAATATCGTGCATCCCTACTAAAAAGGACATGATGTTATAACACCTGATTTTTAACTGGCACATCAGAACTAAGTAACTTGTAGCGGGATATGTTACAAAAGTTAATTTGAAAGTCTAGTTTTATTCATCAGTATCTGTAATGCCTAGACAGTATTGTGGCTGTAAAGTGCATTTCAATTCAATTCAATAATACTTTATTAATCCCAAAGGGAAATTATTTTGTTGTTGTAACTCGTTATCCTCATTTCATTAAGAGATGTTATAGATACTGATGGCTGTAGACAGGAAGGATCTCTTGTAAAGGTCCATCCCACAGTGGAGCCTAAGAAACTGGCTGCAGATGCCGTCCGATCCATCCACCCAGACTCGGCTGGCCTCTCGGTTCCCCTGGACTGTAGGACCGCTTGAATGCTGGGCAGAACTCCTCCCAGAGCGATGGCCACTCCTCCCAGCAGTCTGCCGAGCTCCTCACAGCCGCGGACAGCCAACTGCAGGTGCCGAGGGACGATCCCGTCTATCCGCTGTCGTGAGCTGCGTCTCCTGCCAGCTCCAGGACCCCAGCGATCAGGCACCCTAGCACAGCTGGCCGGTAGATGAGAATGCGTCCACAGAACATCCTTTTCAACTCATTTGAGAGTTGGGGCCATAGTTGAGATATTATTTGAGCTTTTGAGATGTTATTCAGCTGCTGCTGTTGTAGAAAACTGCCTTGTTGCCATGGTTACGCATCATAACAAATGTCCAAAACCAAAAAAAGTTTCAGTAAAAATCCTTCCGGCTGCACAGCATCTGAAACCAGAGGAAACAATCATCCAAAAAATGTGATTTACATCCAGAAAACCAGGAATTAAAGTTTCCAAAGGCAAAATCTCAGAATGAAAGTAACAGAGCTGCTCCAACATGCAGCCACCTCGAGCGGCGCAATTCTAGAACTTTAGAATGTGTGTTTAAATGTATGTTTAGAATTTAACTGGAATGCCATTTATTTTTGTAGTAATTTCTGTTAGACATGTCTCTAAGATGGTGTTGCATTCAGTCGAAGAGATTTTAGATCGAGCAAATTGTCTAATCTGATTTTTACCTGTTTGGTTTTGTTTTAAGCTTTTCTTTACTTTTATTGTTGCATTGCATCTCATGCAGGGCGGCTACATGGCTGCCAAGGTTTCAAAGCTGGATGAGCAGTTTAAACTTGATGCGCCCAGAGAAAAGCAGAAGGAAGGGACGTGCTCCACCATCTTCAGTGGTGTGGCTATTTACGTCAATGGATACACAGGTAACAATCTGCACACACACTTTTTATGAAGTTCCACTGAATGGCTCATTTGCCTTCTCCCATCATCATTTCTTTGCCTAATCTTTTAGAGCAAAAAGAAAAAAAACTTTTCAGGAACAGTCTCAGAGGAGCACCTGGGAAAAAAAAATCTGTGAACCTTTTGTATTTTCTCTTCTTTTTTGACAGCAGTCTTTATTTTCTCCAACAATTGAACACATTTTTAGCATGAGGTGTATGTTTAAAATGACGCCACGACAGTTTTGATGGAATAGAAAAATGATAAAGAGCATTAATCAAGTCGAAAGGAGAGGGTTCTCTAAAAAGCAGACCAAACACCTGTCAGTCATTTTGCACAGGAGATTAAAGACGTAAAGTTACAGTATCTGAAATGTGCAGATCAAGCAGATGTGTGATTTTGAAAATGCTGCTTTGTAAGAGAGTTAACACTGAGAAACAAGGCAGTGCTGCATCCTGATGATTTCACGTCTTCAACCTGTTATTATGCACGTCAGGATGCTGCTGAAGGCATGGATTAGATCTCGGCTATGCAGACTTTTCTGTTCTTTATGTGCAGAGTTATCCCCTTCCCCCTTCAAAGCAATTTTGCCAACTTCCTAGTCTAAAATTGTGCTTGTCTGTCAAATTGTTGATTCCAAATTGACTTTAGGAGTGCATGTGGCTGGTGATCTGTCCCCTAAATACTTACTTGGATGAAGTGAGTGTAGAAAGCAAATTAATGCCTGTGTTTTTTGTCATGTCAGAGCCGAGTGCAGATGAACTTCGCAGGCTGATGATGCTGCATGGAGGTCAGTTCCATATTTATTACATGCGCTCTAAGACCACCCACATCATCGCCAACCACTTACCCAACTGCAAAATCCAAGAGCTCAAAGGGGAAAAGGTCATCAGGCCAGAGTGGATCACTGACAGGTGTGTTAATTCTAAGAAGAGAATTTCTACATACAGTATTTGTCTGTAAAATATTAAATAAAAATTTATTTTTGTAATTTTTTTCATACAGTATTAAGGCTGGGCGCCTCCTGCCATATTTAAAATACCAGCTGTATGCTAAACAGAAGAGCACGCTCTTCTCTAGCTTGATCCTGGGCCACAATGCAGAGACTGCAGGATCGAGCCGCTGTCCCCTTCAGCCGAACGTTCATCAAAAGCTCCATTTGCCTCAGCGAAACACTGAGCTTTCTGTTCCGCACAGTGGAGGATCCTCATCCAGCTGTAAGAACAACTCCATCCCTGTCCCCATCCGCAGTGAAGCCGACCCACCGTCCACCCAGCATTGTTTTAAAGCTCGCTTGGTTAACCCCAAACCAAGTCATTCAGAGTCCAGTCAGTTTACAAACTCTCAGCACAACAGATCTCCTCACACAAACCCACTTTCTAACCACTGCAACACAAAGCACTCACACAAATCTCTGCAGTCTGCTCACGTGCATGGAGAAGAATTAAAAATGTGAGTATGTAATGAAAGGTTTGAACATTTTTCTCTCTCTATTCAGAGATTTTGGAAATTAAAGTTTGTGAATTGACACATTTTTTTTTCTATTTTCTCATAGAAATGGACTACTACAGACCTCATTGGATATCACAAGCCATTCCAAAATGAATGGAATACAAGGCGGTAGAGAACTGGATTTTTGTCCTGCTGGGGTTTCGAAGGGGGTTAAGGGAGCCCCCCTGACCAATGGACACGTTCATCTTTTTAATGGTGCCTTAAAGTCGGAGGACTTGTCCCTTGTTACAGATCTGTTCTCTTCTAACAGGGACGTGTCTAAATGTCAAATAAAGAGATCAACAGATAAACCTCAGAGTCCTCCATATCAGACGAATGCTGACCCTTATGAGTTCCCCCCCAGCCCTCCAAAACAATCTGACCTCCCACCTGGTTTTCTGGAGCAATCCTGCACACAAGGAGACAATGGCCATAAACCTCCACTACCCACCTCCCATGAGGCTGCCAACAAAATCCAGCTCCTGCCTAAATGTCTCCACCCTCACAGTCAGGTCACAACCACCTCTGAGCAGACTCATCTGCCTCCTCCTTCTTCTTCTACTTTGCAGTCCTCAGTTAGACTGAACGGAAGTCACCATGATGCCTTCTCATCCGACCTGACATTCCTCAGCACAACCTCTATAACAGCCAAACCTGATCCTCCCACCAATGAGACCTCATCCAAGACCTCAGAGCTGCTGCTGGAACAGACGGGGGGTCTGATCTCCGAGTACTACTCTCACTCACGTTTGCACCAGATCTCCACGTGGAGGGTTGGATTTTCTGAGTATGTCAACGAGCTGCACAGCAAACGGAAATCCACAGGGGGCACCTCTTTCCCTGGCAAAGATCGTCTGAGGAAGTTTATAGCTCGGCGATCTGCAGACGGTCAGGGTAGGACAGAATGTTTCACTTTGTTGTTTGAATTTCTTTCATGTTCTCTCAGTGCTTTCTTTTTTAATCAACACATCCCTTTTTTTTTGCAGTGAAATGTCCGATGATGGAAAACTACTAAATTTTGCTTGATTAAATTATAACACAGACAACAAAGTAATTATGTGAAATGGCTGGTGAAACTGAGGGAATGAAATGTGTCCAAGCGTCCATTTAATATGTTTGTCTGTGTCAGGTACATCAGCCCTAGGCAGCATTAAATCTTGTATCCTCCACGTGGATATGGACTGTTTTTTTGTGTCTGTTGGGATTCGACACAGACCGGAGCTTAAAGGCAAGACACTTTTTATATGTTTAGATGTTCAGGTATGCAGTCTGTAAAACATATCTTTATATGAAACATCATTGGCAGACATTAAAACGATTTGCTGCTCCTGGTTGAATTACTGGTTTTCCTGCAGGGAAGCCTGTAGCTGTGACCAGTAACCGTGGACAGGGCAGAGTCCCTATAAGACCTGGAGCTAACCCACAGGTGGAGCTGGAGTACTACCAGAGAAGATACACTCAACCCCAGTCAGGTTAGATTTTGTCTGATCAGATTGTCATGGAGTGTCTCAACACTGACAGAGCAACCTACATGTCTCAAGTAAGTTCAATTCACTTTATACTGTATGTGTATCAGAAAGATCAGGTGATGATCTGCCTGGTACTCCCTCACAAGACACTCCTGACTTTCATGACACCAGTACAGACCAGGAGGCCATGGCTCTCTCAATGGCAGAGATTGCATCCTGCAGTTATGAGGCTAGGTAAGATAAAAACACGCATCATGACTGTTCTAAACAAGGAGCAAGATGAGTGATTTATTTATTTTTTTTTACTTTGCAGGCAGACAGGGGTGAGGAACGGGATGTGTTTTGGCAAAGCAAAACAACTGTGTCCCTCATTGCAATCAGTCCCTTATGATTTTGAGGCCTATAAAGAGGTGGCTCTGAACATGTATGAGATTCTGGCAAGGTGAGAAGGCTGAGATCTTTCTGTCACTTCGCTTTGTTTTTTGTTCCCTGTTGCGGAGCGAAGCGATGGAAATGGAAATACCCTCTGTCTGTCTGTGTGCATGTTGTGAGCATGATAACTTGAACAATAAGTGAGGCACCAACTTTTGTTTTGGTTTGGGGCTACGTCTAGGCGAAAGAAAGGTTCCTTTTGAAAATTGGTTTGCTGTTCAAAGTGCAAGATGGCTGCCGCCATAAATGTCGATTTGTGTTGTGAGTTACATAACTTGAAAAATAAGCAACAAACCAGCTTCCATTTTGGTGTGTGGCTTCATCTAGGCGTAAGAAAGGAAACTTTTGAAAATTAGGTTGTCACGTCAAAATCCAAGATGACTGCCACCACACACACACACACATATACAGTGCCTTGCGAAAGTATTCGGCCCCCTTGAACTTTTCAACCTTTTGCCACATTTCAGGCTTCAAACATAAAGATATGAAATTTTAATTTTTTGTGAAGAATCGACAACAAGCGGGACACAATCGTGAAGTGGAATGAAATTTATTGGATGTGTCAAACTTTTTTAACAAATAAAAAACTGAAAATTGGGGCGTGCAATATTATTGGGCCCCTTTACTTTCAGTGCAGCAAACTCACTCCAGAAGTTCAGTGAGGATCTATGAATGATCCAATGTTGTCCCAAATGACTGATGATGATAAATAGAATCCACCTGTGTGTAATCAAGTCTCCGTATAAATGCACCTGCTCTGTGATAGTCTCAGGGTTCTGTTCAACGCGCAGAGAGCATCATGAAGACCAAGGAACACACCAGGCAGGTCCGAGATACTGTTGTGGAGAAGTTTAAAGCCGGATTTGGATACAACAAGATTTCCCAAGCTTTAAACATCCCAAGGAGCACTGTGCAAGCAATCAAATTGAAATGGAAGGAGTATCAGACCACTGCAAATCTACCAAGACCCGGCCGTCCCTCTAAACTTTCATCTGGAACAAGGAGAAGACTGATCAGAGATGCAGCCAAGAGGCCCATGATCACTCTGGATGAACTGCAGAGATCTACAGCTGAGGTGGGAGAGTCTGTCCATAGGACAACAATCAGTTGTACACTGCACAAATCTGGCCTTTATGGAAGAGTGGCAAGAAGAAAGACATTTCTCAAAGATATCCATAAAAAGTGTCGTTTAAAGTGGGCACTCATCTTGTCCATGATTTTTTTCGAGGGGTGGAGGAGGAGGAGACGGACGGAGACACGTCCTAAGCTGTGCAGCGCGCTGTTTAAACCAACAGTTTTAGAGGGGGTGGGGGACACAGAGACAACCGCGCGCTGTCTGAACCGACAATTTTTTTGTGGGGAGGAGGGTGTTGGGATGGGGGAGAGAAAGACACACATCTGAGCTGTACGCTGTTTGTACCGACAGTTTTCGACGGGGCGTTCGGTTCTGTTGACGGGGGGGGCGCCCCGCTTGTATAATGGTAGGGGAATCACTGGTGTCACTGGTGCCCATATCCAACTATCACAGTGTGAGAGGCGGGGTACACCCTGGACAGGTCTCCAGTCCATCACAGGGACACATGGAGACAAACGAGATAAACAACCATTCGCTCTCTCACTCACATCTAAGGACAATTAGAGTTACCAATAAGTCTAACATGCATGTTTTTGTCTGTGGGAGGAAATCAGAATACCCGGAGAAAACCCACGCATGCACGGAGAGAAAACGCAAACTCCACCCAGAAAGCCCCCGGCTGGGATTTGAACCCGCAACCTGCTCACTGAGAGGCAGCAGCCCTACCAACTGCACCACCGTACTGCCCCTGTTTATTTCAATTCAATTTATTTATACAGCGCCAAGTCACAACAGAAGTTGTCTCAGGGCACCGAACAGAAACATTCACATCCATCCATCCATTATCTTTACTGCTTCTTCCATTTTGGGTCACGGGGGTTGCCGGTGCCCATGTCCAGCAATCACTGTGCGAGGGGCGGGGTACACCCTGGACGGGTCGCAAGTCCATCACAGGGACACATAGAGACAAACGAGACAAACAACCATTCACTCTCTCACTCACACCTAGGGACAATTTAGAGTTACCAATCAGTCTAACATGCATGTTTTTGGTCTGTGGGAGGAAACTGAAGTACTGGAGAAAACCCACACATGCACGGAGAGAACATGCAAAGTCCACCCAGAAAGGCCCCTGGACCGGGGTTTGAACCAAGGACCTGCTCGCTGAGAGGCAGCAGCTCTACCAGTTGCGCCACCGTGCTGCCTCATTCACATACATAAAAAGACAATTAGTAAAAATTATCTATCTAAGGAAGCAGCAGACTCGTTGAATCTTCACTTTTTCACAGTCTCCCATCCTGAGCAAGCACAGTGGCAACAGTGGAAAGGAAAAACTCCCTTTTAACTGGAAGAAACCTCCATCAGAGCCAGGCTCAGGACAAGCGACCATCTGCTTGAGAGGACAGGAAGAAGAAACAAACCAACATAGGTGTGCGTGCATGCGTGGGTAAACCAGCCACCTCTATCATTTAAGTAGTCTGCTTTCTTGTTTTTATATTTTATGTTTCCTGAAATGACTGGGATAGCTCTTGTCCCTGATCATGGATAAAATTGCTCCTTCCACTCACCAGTATCTGTCACTCTGTGCTGCCTTGGACAAGCAAAAAATAAACAACTACCTCTTATATCCAGTGTAACTCACCAAAAACATTAGAATTAGACATTCCCTGTTTAATTCCAGTTCACAAAAACACACCTGAACCTACAAACATTCACTATTCATTTAGGGGACATTGGCATACTGCTTGTTGCTTTCGCTTTACTTGGTAACTTCTTTTTTTGTAGTTACACCCATGACATTGAGGCTCTCAGCTGTGATGAAGCGCTGGTAGATGCCTCTGGTCTGTGCGCTGAGATTGGTGTCAGCCCGGATGATTTAGCCCGAGCCATCAGAGCAAACATTGAGGAGAAAACAAGATGTTGCGCTTCAGTGGGAATGGGTGAGTTGGTGTTTGCCTCATACTGTAAAATACACCAAGGCAGTATCAGTCGTATCTAATCAAGCTCTGATCTGTTCAGGGACTAACATACTGTTGGCTCGACTGGCAACTCGTAAGGCCAAACCCAATGGGCAGTATTTCCTCAAGTCCGAAGAAGTGGATGATTTTATCAGGGACCTACCAGTGACCAGTTTACCAGGTATATACACCATGCTGCATTCTCATCATGGCTACTAGTTAGTGTCTGTTATCATTAAGAGGAGTAAATATTTGATTTTAATAATATTTTATACATGTTCCTAGGTGTTGGACATGTTATGGCTAAAAAACTTGCTGGTGTGGGTGTGAAGTCATGTGGGGATCTCCAGCAATTGTCTTTATCTCAGCTGCAAAAAAAGTTTGGACCCCGTACCGGACAAACTCTGTTCCGCTTCTGTAGGGGTTTGGATGACCGACCCGTCCGCTTTAGAAAGGAAAGAAAATCTGTCTCTGCTGAGATGAACTACAACATCCGCTTTACCACGGTTAGATGTGCTATGTATTTTTTTTATGCGTCTGTTTTGTAGCATCCATCTTTTTTTAAACTTCCTGTTTGAAAACTCACCAGGTTGATGAGGCTGAGAGTTTTCTCACCAATTTATCGATGGAGGTGCAACGACGTTTACAAGACGCTGGACTGCGTGGTCGGAGAGTCACACTTAAGGTCATGGTCCGCAAGGTTGGAGCACCTCTGGAGCCAGCTAAATATGGAGGCCATGGCGTATGTGATAATCTAACCAGGTTAAAAAAAGCAACTTAAATCCTGTTTTGTTTTTTAGATTATTAAATGGAAAAAAGAGAGAAAAGTTTATTTTTGATTTCTTTCACTTTTCGACAGGACTGTGTTGCTCACTCAGTCCACAGACAGCGGTCAGCTGATTGCCTCCGCTGCCATAAAGCTGTTTCACGCCATGAAGCTGCAGGTCAAGGACTTGAGAGGTGTTGGCATTCAGGTTCAGCTTCTTAAGGGAAGTCAGTCTGTTACAAAGGACTGCCATGGTCCTCGAACACACTCCATCAAAAACTTGTTGTTGGGCCAAGGACCGAGTGCTAAATCCAACAACAAAGGTCTGTTTGGTCTTCAGCGTTCAGTTTTTGCCATCTTGGTCACATTAGTTTTTTAACAACTGTTACAAATGTTGCAGACACTCGCCAAGATCCAACAGATCCTCCAGGTGGCTCCTCAACACCTCCTTTCACACCTGCTGAGCCAGTTCCAGGAACAAGCAAAGACCATCCAGATTGTAGAAGAACACCAAAACATTCTCGGACGTGTTTCGACTTCAGTATTGAGGTTCCTTCTCCTTCACAGGTACATCATGGATGGAACTGCCTGGTCAGAAACACAAGTTTATGATTTACATTTTTGTTTTATGTTTATATTGTAGCTGACAGGAATAAATGCCTCTTAAGATTTTTCTTTTTATACGTTTTAAATTATGCTTAAAATTTTTACTTCTACTGGATGACCAATTTTCTTGTAAGATCAATAAAATAACTCTTCCTATCTTTTAACATACTGTGTTTCTGAATGGTTTGTAAGGTGGATCATTCTGTCCTGGAAGCTCTTCCTCGAGAGCTGAGAGAGCAAGTGGAGCAGACGTGGATGAAAAGAGTCGAGAAGCCAAATAACTTCCGTCTTCCTGATTTGCACCTTTCCTCTCCTGATCCCAATACATGTCCTCCTCCTCCCGTACCGTACACCCCACCTGCAGGAACATTGGTTCTGCAGATTCCAGACCAGCCAGATAGTCCAGGAATTGTACTGGAATTGCCTAACTTTTCACAGGTACAACAGCAGCTGTTTGAGGTTTGATTTTTTTTCCCTTTATGCATATGACAGGGTGCTGACAAAGGAGCTTTGGTGTTGCATGAGGAAATATGGAGTGGCACAGAAGTATGTTAGACTGGTACAGGACATGTACAAGGACAGCAGGACAGTGGTGAGATGTGCTGTAGGAGTGACTTCAAGGTGGAGGTGGGAGTGCATCAAGGATCGGCTCTGAGCCCCTTCTTATTTGCTCAGGTGATGGAATGACCAATAAATTAGGTCAGGCAGGAATCCCTGTGGACGATGATGTTTGCAGATGATGTGATCTTTGGTGAGAACAGGGAACAGGTGGAAGAGAACTTGGAGAGGTGGAGGTATGCACTTGAAAAAAGAGGAATGAAAGTCAGCCGTAGTAAGACAGAGTACATGTGTGAATGAGAGGGAGGCTGGTGGAACAGTGAAGCTACAAGAAGCGGAGGTCACAAAGGTGCAGGACTTCAAGTACTTGGGGTCCACTGTCCAGGAAAATGGTGATGTGGAAAAGAAGTGAAAAAGAGAGTCCAGGCAGGATGGAGTGGATGGAGAAAAGTTTCAGGAGTGATGTGCGACAAAAGAGCGTCAGCAAAGTTCAAAGGAAAAGTTTACAAGACAGTGGTGAGACCAGCTATGTTGTATGGTCTGGAGACAGAGACATGGACAAAAAGACAGGAGAAAGAACTGGAAGTGGCAGAAATTAAGATGTTTAGGTTCTCCTTAGGAGTGACGAGGCTGGATAAGATCGGGTATGAGATCATCAGAGGTACAGCACAGGTTGAACAATTGGGAGATAAAGTTAGAGACCAGATTGAGATGGTTTGGACATGTCCAGAGGAGGGACAGTGGGTATACTGGTAGAAGGATGTTAGAAATGCAGCTGCCAGGAAAAAGACAAACAGGAAACATCTGGATGAATTTAGAAAATGCATGGAGGTAGATTGAGTGAGGACAGAGTGAAATGGGGGAGGATGACTCGCTGTGGTGACACCTGAAAAGGGAAAAGACAAAAGAACAACTAGAAGACTTTAGATGTCAAGAATATGTATAAGGGATTAAGTTCACAGAGATGACTGGGACTGAATGTTTATCACTATGTAAATAAGAACCACGAGCTTCAATCTTATCCTGAATTTTACAGGAAGTCGGTGTAGAAATATAAGAACAGGAGTGATGGAGAATAAAACGGGATCTAGGTGAGAAGTGTTGCAGCAGAGTTTTGAACTTTAAATGAGAGAGAGATTCTTGGCCTAAACAGAAATGATGTTTCAACAGTCTTCATCGTTACAGAAAAGTGAGAATTGCAGTTTCTATTGACTGATAAGATAACAGACGTGTAATTTTGACATATTTCTCAGGAGAAATTATCTGGACTGAACTACAGACTTAACCTGCTAATCAGATTTCAGTTGTTGGTGGAAGGTGACACCTAGTGTTGGTGTGTGTGTTAAGCAACAAACCACATTTGACCATGTTTTGCAGACACCCATACTTGTCTTCCTTCTCCAGTTTATTTAGATTTGAATTATGACACATGCTTTTTTTTTTTTTACCCATAACCCCCAGAGAAATATTGTTTTCCACAGAAAACATAAATAGGCTGTAAACAGATTAACCTGCTAAAGACTGAAAACAAGTTTGGCATAAATATGGTTACTTAATACATCACAGTCTGCATTTACTAAAACTGAAGTAAAATGAAGGTATTTAACCAATCTGTGGATGTTTATTCAGGTTAGACTTGGTACTCACGACTAGTAAAGACAAAACATGACTTTTAAAAATCATCTTGAGCAAACGTTATTAATATTGACCCTTTGCTTCTGTATTCCCGACTGCAGGTTGACCCAGATGTATTTGCTGCACTTCCCAAAGAACTGCAGGAAGAACTGATGTCTGCCTACAATCGTGCAACAAATGTCCAACTCCAGGTGAAAACAGGTGAGTCAACAACTGAAGGCTTTTTGATCATTGTCACATCATGCTCGTTGGCTTGACCTTATTTTATTATTATTATGTTCTTGTTTACCTAAAGTCGAGCAGAAGAATCCACTGCTGCAGCTAAAACAGCCTGGTGTAGAGAATGGTCAGGTGAAGCGGCGCTACAAGAGAAAAAATGGAGTCAGCCCTCTTAAAAAAGGAACTTCACCATTAAAGAGGCATCAGGTGACAAAAAGTCCAGCCAAAACCGTACCACCTCCTGTAAGATCACAAGAACCAGCGAATGTACCAAAGGTGAGTCCATGCATTATTTTCTAGTCATATTTAAAATTAAAACTTTTATAACAATTTAAAACTGGACATATTTTTAGAACTCTCGTGTTTTCTGTTCTCAGACTGAAAACAATCCCTCCACCTCAAAACAAGAGGTCCCAGCATCTGTAAGTAAAATGGTTCCTCGTCCTGTTCCAGCTCTGGCTGGAGCCTGTGACCTGACAGACATCAAGACACTTCTAAGGGAATGGGTTGCCACAATAACCGGTACGCATTTTGGAACAAATGTTTTATGTCCGCACAAGCTGTGGTATTCAAACAATGTGTCACTTTTGATTAGACCCTATGGAGGAAGACATCCTGCAGGTGTTGAAATACTGCACTGATCTGATTGAAGACAAAGATCTGGAGAAGTTGGATTTGATAATAAAATACATGAAAAGGTAGGTTCTGCCATTTAGTTTAACCTAAAGATGGGTGATAAGAGGAAAATCTAATACCCCAATGTTATTTTGCTATATCACAATACACTGTCATATCGCGATATTTATAAATAACCAGTGTTATTTTAAACTATATAGTATGTAAAATGGCACTGGTGCACTCTATTCAAACAGACCATTCATGTTTGGTCAAACAAGTGAATAAAAACATCAGATAAACCAGCTGTGAACTTCAAGTGCGGTTTCTCTTCTGAACTAGTTCATCGGACTCCTCTTCAGTTACCGTCTCATTCACCCGCTCACCTGAAACTCCCGCTGTCGCCAAGCATGCATGGGAGGGCTTTAACAAAAATGGAACAAAATTAACACTTAAAAACAATTATTTGTTTGCTCAAAATTATAGTAAAGGTGTGTCTCAGTCTAGCTTTTGCTTAATAAAAGGACTTTAACGATCAACTCAGCTGTATTTCAAAACCCGATTCGCGTAAGCAAGCATGCGCAGAGGGATGAGCCGCTTTTCATTTCTTTGAAATTTAACAAGATAAACATCTAAAAACAATTATTTTTTTGCTCGAAATTATAGCAAAGGTGTGTCTTTCTTAGTCTAATGTTTGCTTAATAAAAGGACTTTAACGGTCAAATCAGCTGCATTTTCAAAAGTATTCACTGCCTCTGTCCTTCCAGAATGCACAGAGGGAGGGAAAAAAAGGAAGGAGGAATGCTGCTCATTTTTTCGAAATTTAACAAGATAACCACCTAAAACAATTGTTTGTTTGCATAGCAAAGGTGTGTCTCAGTTGAACTTTTACTTAATAAATGCACTTTAATGGTCAAATTAGCTGCATTTCGCCGGGGCGGTGCAGCTGGTTTGACGGTTGATCCAAGCAGCGAGCAGAACGAAGGTGGGAGTACAACGGCAAGCCGATTGTGTCATTAATAGCTGGTGAAGATTCTCAGTCATACAAGACATGGTAAATTCAAAAAAGTTCAGGACAAAAACAAAGTATAATAAATAAAGTCCAGTTGTTTTTGTCTTGAACTTTTTTTGAATTTGTCATTATAGCCACGTTTACCTATTGCATGATACAACGGTATGCCATAAAGCTACTACTACTCTGCTGCCATCAAGTGGCTGAAAATGTTACTGTTCAATAACAAAGTCCATGCTCAAAAATCCAGGTATAAAATCCAACATTTTTCAGTCAGGTCATCTGGACAGTTTTTATTTTTTATGCTGAAATGTTTCGCCTTCGATCCAGAAGGCTTCATCAGTCAAGGAAACACACAACAAAACTGAATCTTCCCCCAACAGCTTAATCCAAAGTGGAACAAACCAGTTCTGCTTGTGATAAGATGGTCTCTTTGGTACACCCCCTCCTCCCTTGCCAGCCCTCTTCCTTGTTGACAGTCTTGTCAAACTGGTTGAAAACAACAAAGTCCATGCTCAATAATCCAGGTGTACAATCCATCTCATCACAAGCAGAACTGGTTTGTTCCACTTTGGAGTAAGCTGTTGGGGGAAGAATCAGTTTTGTTGTGTTTCCTTGACTGATGAAGCCTTCCGGACCAAAGGCGAAACGTTTCAGCACAAAAAAAAGAAACTGTCCAGATGACCTGACTGAAAAATGTTGGGTTACTGTTCATTGTTTTCAGAATTAACGAAAACAGTCATATCTCAACCAAAAAATTGGTTATAAATATGGGGAAAAAAACGTAAATTAGTCGCTTCGATGTATAAGTCACAGGACTTGCAAATTTATGCAAAAAGGTGTGACTTGTGCGGCTAAAAATACGGTATATATGATACATTGCCCAGCCCTAGTTTATTAAAAATAGCCTTCTGTATTTGCCTTTTGTTTTACCCAAATAATTAAACTATATTTTTGTGCTGAAACTTTCTTTGCAGGATCATGCAGCAGTCAGTGGAGTCTGTTTGGAGCATGGCGTTTGACTTCATCTTGGACAACGTGCAAGTGGTTGTGCAGCAGGTTTACGGTAGCATCCTGAAGATAACATAAAACAAAGGGGAGAAGGTCCTGGTTTTACAGGGTCATCTACGCAACAAATCATGACATTTACTTTGTAATTTCTTTTTTTTTTTTTCTCCATTGCATTTTCACCCCAACATCTTGGAGTTCACTGTGGCTACAAATGATCATATAAACACAGTTCGTCTGAATAAGTGCCATAACAAGATTTGATAAAAACACGTATCAATTTTTGTACTTTTTTTATGTACAAGCAATTCAAACTGAAGAGCAATAAAGGTTTTCAATGTTGACTCACAACCATAATAAACAAACATCATAGCTATTCTGTTTTCATACATTTGGTTACTTTTATTTGATTATTGCAGTCGGTGTTTTCTTACCTATTGTTATAAATCTATTGTAGCCAGGCCGTGTAATATTTACAACTTTTGCTGTGCTGTCAAATTTCACTTGATGCACATCTTTCATACATTAGTTGTAATATAAAACAGATTTAAACGTCAGGTAACTTGGTAGCACTCCTCATGCATTATCGAGTTTAGACATTGTCTGACAAAGAGGTGTTTTTTATTTTTCATTCATATTCCTTGGAGCTCTCATCTCCAGCACTTGATCTGTGAATTTACCTGCAGCTGCTGCGCACAGTTGTATCTTTCTCTCTTTCAAAAAAAAAAAAAAAAAGTGCCAAAGTTTGTTCTTGTAAAGTGTATATAATGTTTTGAAAGATCTTTGTCGAAAACGTTTTAAAAGAACTGTATGTGGAGGAATTGCCTCTTGTATTGTTTACTAATGGTGCATTCTTATTAATGGTCTTTGAATTGTAATTCTTCTAACTCTAAATGTTTTTTTTTTAGTGTTCCAACATGGAAATCAGAAGCTAGCCAAAGTACATCACAACGGGATTAGCTGTTGATTCTATGTAGCACTCTAATTTGGACATCGACATATGTCGTGGCAATCAATGAGCCTATGCATTTTTTCTCTCACTAAGAAGAAAGATGTCTACTCATGATAATGTAACATACATTGAGCATTTATATTGGGAGTAACTTCAGTGTGGCATTAAGTTTTCACTGGGTTCTTTATTCTGAAATAATGCTGGACTTGCATAGGAACAAGTGATCTGTTTTGTGACATGTTGACCCATCTTGTATGACTCACACTCTGCAGAGATTTGCATGGTTTATAACTACATTATGTATCTATTCTGAGTTTAACTTTTATGTAACTGGTCATAAGAAGACACAGCTTGTTGACTTCTGATCTTTTATGGAAGATGTCAGTGGTTGAAAATTTTGTTCAAAGCAGTAATCAAATATGCAAACCTGATCAGTCTGAATGTAATTTGGAATGTGCAACATTTCACTCGCTTTGTAAGATATTTCTTCTCTTCACTCGTGTTTTTCCTCAAAGAAATGGCCAAAAGTAAAGGGCCAAAGTTTAATTCTTCAAATTGGCCCGTGCCTGAAGACCTGAAGCTGTGAAATTGTTTGTAAGTTTTCTTAATCTTGGTAATAAACTTTTAACAAAATATCTGAATTTTTAATTTTGTCTTCAATGTTTTAAAGACTGAAGTTTAGCTCTAGAGAGGTGCTGCACTAAAAAGTAATCTCAAAAATAAATAAATCAGACGTATTGTGGCAGATTTACTAGTTTTAAGTTAACTGGGATGTTGTCCCCTTCTTCTGAATAAGTTAAAAATATTCACTAAAATCTTTCTAAAGTGAAGACTTAAAAATACCAATAATTACACCAGTGATTAAAATCTTGACCTAGGTGAAAGATTTGCACCTACAAATAAAATGTTGTTTATTACAAAATTCAAATAGTATGTCAAGTAGTATATCTAAACTAAGATAGTGATAAATTAAAGCTGTTTATGAATATCTTCAATAGTTATGTTTGTAAAAGGTCTGGAGGTGATATTAGGTTTATCCATCCATTTCTTGTATAATCTCAGCCAATTTTTGAATTTTCATTTGTTTAAAAAAAACTTCTAAAAAAACATTTATAAGCCCCTCTTCCAGTTTAAAAGCCTGAAATTTAATTTGAGATTCTGCAGATTAGAGCCATTTACATATACTGTAGTATATGGATATAATAATTAGGATTTACAGATACTAATGTGCATGCGTAGACTCAGATGCCATGCCCCGTGTACAAAAGTGGTCTTTTATTTTGTAAAATGTCCAGATGTTGATTTTTTTATACAGTATTTAATTATAACAGTTAGTGAACAGTTTATCATGATGTTTATCCTCCATCCATCCATTATCTTTACCAGCTTCTTCCATATCCCGTGTTACAAAATCAGCAGTATATAATACAACATATTAATGCATAACAGTATATAATAGTTCTGTAGGTAGCACTTAATAAACAGGAAAAGAAACAGCTGCACTAAATAAAGGAAGAGAAGGAAATGCTGGAGGGTGAGTCAAGGTTCTTAGAACAGATTCAGCGCAGTCCTTTTTTTCAATGGCTTTAAATTAATTAATCGTCTGAATATATTGTTTGCCCTTTTTATGAAGAGCAGTGAAGCATAGTTTCTTTCCAGAGTATTTTCTACAATGAATGTGATATTTTGACATGAATAATAGAAGATTTATCAGGTAGTCAGAGTTGTTTGCGTTCGGTCTCCAAAGAGGCCGAACAACACAATAAGACAAAAAAAAATTCGATGTTATTGTGATTATTGTCAGACAGTTTCTGCCAAAATAAATTAGCAAATTGGCTTTACAAAACCAGGTGAACAACCAACAAATAAAGTCCAGTTGTTTTTGTATTGAACCTTTTTTGAATTTGTCATGTCCTGGATGACAGAATCCTCACCAGCAGGTGAACAACCAGAACAACTGTTTCGTATCCGGATGTAGTTTGTGCGACATCAAACGACCGTGTGACGTCATATCCGCCACATAGCAGAGTGGGTGTTTTCGCGCACGAAGTATAATTGTGTAACTGCTGTCGTTTTTTCAAGGTAACAATATGTGTTTTGTTGATGTTACAACTATTTGCACTTTAATTTAACATGTTAAATCCAATAATATTGCCTCTCGTTTAAACCTTTTTATCAATGGGATACCTACGGCTAGCGTTAGCCAGCTAGCATAGCATGAACGTAACGTATTGTACTCTAGATTGGTAAAATACCAGCAGCAGTTCGTAATTCTATTTTAATTTGCCTTCTTATGATTATAACTGTTGCCAAGAAGTACTCGTGAAGTTATTAAAATGCTGTAAGGTAGATTTACACTTATTGCACTGTATAAAACCAGGCGTGCCTTGTCTTTTGTCTGCTGCTGTTTCGAGATTCAAAGGTTTTGATAAAACTGCTCAAACAAGACATATTAATTTTGGCAAAACCTTTTATTTTACTCTTTAGATGCTTTGTAGACTAGAACAAAGTGTTAGGTGAGAATGTCTTTTTTTTTTTTTATAATTTTACATGAAATAACTAATAACTGATAAACTGTGAATTAAAATCACCACTGTTAAAGTTTTCGTAGAGATCATTGTCAAATTAAAACGCAGAACAAGAACGTTTTGCTTATGATTTTTACAGTTTTGATGAATCTGACTCGGTTACGCGCTAGCCTTCAAAATGACCCTGAAGCTGAATTAGTGCCTCTACAAGCTAAATCAAAAGCTGATCATTAGATCCACCCCATTACATCCCGTCTCACCTTACATGATCTGATTTGTTTTACCTCTTCAGATTCAGAGCGTCTCACACAGGCTGCCATGGCTAATCAGGCAGTTGAAATGATCACCAAGGTGTTGGAGCAAACCGTTAGGGTGGCAGAAGAGCAGGTGGATGCTCAGTTGAGCAGACTGAATGAAATTGATGAAGATGAGTTGGAGAGACTCAAGGAGAGGCGGTTAGAGGCGCTTAAAAAAGCTCAGAAACAGAAACAGGTACGTTTTTACATACCTGTTAACTGTATTTCTATTATTTGTGTTATACAGATGTTTTTTTTGTGTGTTTTTTTTTTATTTAAAGGAGTGGCTATCCAAGGGCCATGGGGAGTATAGAGAAATCCCCAGTGAGAAAGACTTTTTTGGTGAAGTGAAAGAGACCAAGAATGTTGTCTGCCACTTCTACAGAAATTCAACCTTCAGGTAAATTTATCCTCTAAGGGATGAAAAAATATTACTGTTCACAGAACACTAACTAAAAGCAGTACTGGGTTTGTTTTTCCTCGTGTGAAAACATGGGTTCGCTCACAGTGCTGCTAATAGTTTAACACGAAGTGGTTGACTTGGTCTTTCTGTTTTCCTCATGTAGGTGTAAAATACTGGACAAACACCTGGCCATCCTGGCTAAAAAGCACATTGAGACCAAATTCATTAAACTGGATGCAGAAAAGGCCCCATTTCTGTCAGAAAGGCTTCGCATCAAAGTTATCCCAACACTGGCTTTGCTTATAGATGGAAAGACAAAGGACTACATAGTAGGATTCACCGATCTGGGCAACACGGATGAGTTTGCGACAGAGGTGCTTGAATGGAGACTCGGATGTGCAGAAGTTATTAACTACAGGTGAGAAACACTTGTTCACCTGTAAGAGAGTTGTGCTGCCAAACAATCCATTTAGGTTCAACGTGACTTTATTGTCAAACAATATTTTTTATATATATATATATATATATATATATATATATATGTCATTCGCATCACATGGTACATGAGGCGGAACGGAATTGTGTAAAGTCCCAGTTACATCCAACAATAGCAAAAATATAAAGTACAAAAAGAAACGGTATATAAGGATCAAAGATATACGCAAAACAATAATAATGTAATGTGGTGTATTAAACAGCAAATTTTAACACTTTTTCGTTCTAGTGGTAACCTGATGGAGCCTCCTACAACGACAAAAAAATCTTCAAAATTCACAAAAGTGGAAAAGAAAACCATCAGAGGGAGAGCCGACGACACCGACTCAGATTCTGAAGATGACTGAAGACAAGTGGTTGGTTTTCTCTCTCTGGGCTACCTCCCAAATAATTCTACAAAAGCAACTTCTTTTTTTTTTTTTTTTGAATGACTTAGTCAACACATTTGTTTTTTTTAATCAAATTAATATTGTCAAAGCATTTAGCGGACTTGCTTATTTATGGATGCATCTTTTTAGCATGTATCTTGAGAATTCATTTGAAGTGACTTAAACGTGCACCAGCTGAGACTATGTGTTGTTTTTCATGAACTTCCAGATTGATTTGAAATCCGAGGCAGGTTCACTTGAGTACGTTACCTTTTAAACTGTGTTGCTCTTATGTTAGAACAGTCAGCGACGCATATGTGCCAAGATCAAATGTACTTTGATTCTAATATATGAACATTTAACTTGTCATGACCATGTAGCAAGTTTTCATTAACAAATATTAAAATACATTGAAAGTTTTAATTCTGCTTGTGTCATTTTTGTATTTCTAATCTGTACAAGAACAGAATACATTATTAGTATCGAGTTTTGATTCTGAGCAAAACTCTACATCAGCTTGGATCAGGCTACATAACGCAGACATTGTTAAACATGAAGCCCATTTAAGAAAACCTATATGGTCATGCTGGCATTTCTGCTTTGGGGGTTATTCAGTTTGTAAATCTTTAAACCATTTTGATGACTTTCTATAACAAGCTCAGAACATGGAGAAACGAGCTGGTCTGGGAAGCTCAGTCCTCACCTACAGGAGTGCAGTGGAGCGCATCCTGTGCTCCAGCATCGACGTGTGGCATGGAGGCTGCACAGAAGTCTGTTGGAGTCAGCCTCCCCACCACCACAGACATCTATTCTACACCTCTAGATGCAGGAAGATCGAGGGCCACCTGCATCATGAAGGACCCCACTCACCCAGCACACACACTTTACACTGCTCTCCTCAGGAAGGAGTTTGAAGAGCATTGAGTGTAGAACCACTAGACTGAGGAACAGCTTCTACCCTGAAGCTGTGACTCATGAATCCCTAATCGGAATTCTCACTGAAAAAAATCAATTCCACTTGATATGTGCTGCTGATTATCCATGCTGCTGATCTCATGCCGCTGATTTATTTCATGTTGCTGTTTATTCGTACTCATCTGTTCAGAGTCATGCTTGTGCTGCTGCTGTTCGGCAGATTGTGTACTAGTGCTTAGTGTTAGTGTATTTCTTAGTTCATATCTTATTACTGTTTTTCTTTTACAATTTATATTTTGTTGGATGTAAACGGGACCCTGTGTACACTTTCGTTTCACCGCATGTACCATATGGTGCGAACGACAGAAACTTTAACATACTTTATTTAATGTAGCAGAATCAAGACAGGATTCTTGGTTTTCAATTATATTTTATTAACAACTGGATTTTTAACTAACTAACTAACTTGACAGATGAACTAAGACTTGATAGCTTTGTCGTCGGCAGGCTGAAGCAGGCGATGCACAATCAGCTCTCCTCTGCTGTTAATGTAAGTGTCAGCCATGTCCTGTTCTTCAGGGAGACCATATGGAGTTTTCAGAGGCTGTATCCTGTTTTAGTAAGGGAAATAAAATGGTTGCAAACAAAGTTTACAGGTAGTCTGGAGCGCGGTCAGACAGATGGCTTTAAATTCCATTCAGCAATATAAGCCATTTAATGTCAGTTCCTTGGATAATAAAATCTATCATTGCCATGCAAGCATTGATGGTTTACAGATATTCAAATGTGCTTCAGTTATAGTACACCAGTCTTACCTCACAAGGTGCTTGACAAACTTCAGCTGGCTATTGACCGCAGGTATATTTTTGTGAATCACAGCTTTTTTGGCCTTAAAGCAATAAATATAGAATTAAGTCAGTGGAAATCTTACAATCTTACCCTTAAGTTCATATAACCATCAACAGATTTTTCTTATGAAAGCCTCAGGGACATGTTTATGTACATTGCAGGCTTATCAGAATCTTAAATAGTATTTCTGACATTTTGACAAATGATTAGAATTTATAACCTTATACTGACAATTTGTCTGGACACGCCTATATCGGCCCTAAAACACCAATGTCCAAATTAACACAATATTTCATATAGCTTCTGATAAATTGCACTGCAAGAAATAAAGTTAGAGCTATTCAATGTTGGCTTTAGACGCAAGTGTCTTTACCTTTTCCAGGCCAAGGTGTTTTATCATCTCCTTCTCCCAGTATGGCCTTCTCATCACACTTCTGACTCTGGTCACTAAGTGTAGTTTGTGAGGTTGCTCTGGATCGCCACCATATTTATCATGCTCTTTTGATCTCTCAGCAAAAATCTGTCAATAAAAAAAATAACACTTTATCATTGCCATGATCATTAGCATAAGGGGTCCTGGGGCGAGCTCTGTATTTGTTAAAAAAAAAAAAAAGCCATTTAATAATGAACTTGTGTTTCAAATTAAGTTTATAATTTCACATCCATCCATCTTTATCCGATTCTAATTTTTCGGGTCACGGGGGTCACTGGTGCCCATATCCAGCAGTCACTGCAAGAGGAGGGGGACACCCATGACAGCTCTCCAGTCCATCACAGGGACACAGAGACAAACAAACACTCTCTCACACACAAAGCCCCGGCTGGGATTTGATCCGGCAACCTTCTCGCCGAGAGGCAACAGATCTACCAACTGAACCAACATGTTGCCCCTCATAATTTCAATTTCTTTTAATAACATGAAACACATTGACGTAGTGGGAACATGAATTCTTACCTCTTTTGGGATTCTTGCTTTGAAAAATTTGCTGCGTGCCGACACCAACCACCCACAAGGCGACAAGACTGTGGCTCCTTTAAGGGCCTGGAACAAATGCGAAGGATGGTATTACATCATGATTACTAGTTTCTTTGCAATTTGATTTAATCTGCATTTCCTAATTTGGGTATTGCAGATTGACAGCTTTTAAACCTGACGACACATGAGAGGTTGGTTTTCCCCTTTAAAATGTCACTATTTCTAAAATATGTAAACAGACCAACAAGCAGAAATTATTTAGTCAAGTCGTCACTTTTACCACACTTAGCAGGAAATGTAAAGAACGTTTGCACATTTTTTAACTGTTTACATTAGCCTTTGTGCAACAACTGAATAAAAGTGGCTCCAGTTAAATTTTGTTTTGCCCTTTTTTTTTTTTTTTACAGCAGATGTACCTTAGTAAGTCACATCTGCTACCTGTTACAGCTAACAGGCATGATGAGCATTTTCTATTTGTTCTTAGAAATAATGTTTCTGAATATTTCAAAACTGCTTTGCTTCTACTTAGAATGCTCAAGTGCACACAGGATTGTGCAAAAGTTCAATTTTCAGTTGCTCATCTACTTTGTGCGCAGTTTTTAGCCAATTCTTCTTTGAAAACAACTTCTTCTTTTGGCTGCTCCCTCCTCCAGGGGTTGCCACAGCGAGTGAACTCGCTGCCCTCGCAGAAACAACCAGTGATGTGCCACAGCCCTCTGTGTGGAGCAGAGCTGCCATGAGGCAGCACAGGATGTAGCTGGAGGAGTAAGAGCCTTGTTTAAGGTGGGGAAGGTGCTTCACCTTTCCCATCCAATATTGTGTTGTTGGTCCAGGGATTTGAACCTGCAACATCCCAATCACAGGTTTTCTGTAACCTTTGCACCACAACTCCACTGAAAACTTTAATGTTGGTGTTAAAAAAAATAGAACAAATTGTGTCTTTGTGACGCTGAAAACAAAGTGCGTACAGATCAAGTTTAAAAATGGTTCTTCGTCAAATGGTCTGTTGTGCGTCTACTTAAACACCCGTTCAATCTTTGGGTTTAGGAGCTTTTTTTGTGCCTGAATGATCCACAAGTCAGAGTGATGTGGCTTAACCATGGACTTGAACAAAAATATTCTCAAAAATGGCAAAGTTCTGTCCTGAAAGATAGAGAAATATATAGCTACGTCAAAGTTTATTTGTATATATATATATATATATATATATATATATATATATATATATATATATATAGACGATGATGATTGCCTACCAATAAATAAGACTAGTCAAAGTAATATATGGCACATTTTCACTTAACAAAACCCCATACATTTACTCTGATCATTACAGCACAAGAACACCTAGCTATTAACGTTGCCATTTTGTGTTTGTCAAATTTGTACTATGTAAATGTTTTGCATTCCTCATTTCTTTATATTTTGCTTTCAAGTAGCCATTAAAAAAAAATCGTTTAAGGTATAGTCCTTCAGAGTTTTTAAAAAGCTTTCCTTTTTTTTACACTCACTATATGCAGGGGACGCTGGCATAAAGGTAATGCACTTACCTTTACAGACAAAAGACTGAAACTGCGACCAACACCAGACATGTTCTGGGCCACAACTTGGCAACAGAAAAACTACGTCAAGGTTACAAACTGACAACTAAAACGGATAAATAAAAACGTAGGCCGAGCTTAACTAAACTTTACGAATAGTGGATTTTCACACCACAAAAACTCTACGAAAGCATTTCGTAGAAAGAAAAACAACAGCCGAACAGAGCAATCACATTTGTCCTCTGCTCTCTCCTGTCTGACCGGAAATGTGAAAAGGAGTAACATCCAAATTGCTCCGACGTGGAAATGCTCCTAAGTACTGACTACATTTATTTTGACTACATTTAAGCTTTAAAATGCTTTAGTGATAAATAAAAGTTAAATATAAAATAAAAAATAAATATGTACATTATTAGTTTTTTATTTTTACTGAAAGTGTACACATAGCATAAATCGACACTTTTTATGTTTCTCTGGGCTTTATTTTGGTGGCACGCTCAAACAACAGTCATTAAGGCGGAAGTACTTTATAGTCAACTTTTTTTCGTGCCTTCTTTGTCACCGGTGAAACATAAAAGCACATTAGTATCATTAAATTTATTAGAAATACAAATAATAGAGGTAGAAAATGTCAGAAAACCATGTTTCGGGGATGGAGGCGTCCGCTGTGTCTGTGCTGAAGCGAGCTGTGGAGTTGGACCAGAGCGGGCGGTTCCAGGAGTCTCTGGTCTGCTATCAGGAGGGCATCCAGCTGCTCATAGATGTCTTGAAAGGTATAATATCTTTAATGATACAGCTTGAAAGACACTTAGTGCGATATTTAACATGCCACTGCCTTATAAACAGCTTTCAAAGACGACTCAAAGAGAGGACACTACAGGGAGAAGATCAAGGGCTACATGGACAGAGCCGAGCAAATCAAAGCTCATGTGAACCAAATGAAAGAAGGTACTTTAATTCACCTGGGACAGCTTCAATACAAACATATTCAAAGTGACAAGCTGAGAGTCAACCTGTAGCCCATGGTCCTTTTGTTTACAGTACTTTATTTCACGCACAATATTTTTTATTCATGCGTTTGTTTTGGTGAGCAAGTGTCCAAAGAATTTGCATGAAGGTTCTTCATAGACATTTTATTAGGACTAGTGGTGTGTTTTACAAAAAATATTGTGTCTTGTTTCAGTGAATGCAAAGCTGACAATAAGGTGTGATGCATCACTTTATTACTGCTGACTTGATTAGACAAATGAATAGTGAGTTACACAAATGAAATTAAATTAAATTACAAACTGAAAATGGCAGAACCCTCTACAGTTCTGTTTGTTTTTTGCACATTTCACAATTCAAAGCATTGTTCCAATATCTCAAGGGTTGTATGTACACATGCCCAAACAAACTAACATTTACTAAAGCAATCACAAAATATATCGGACTGGATTTTTATTTTTTTGAGGCAAAACAAGCTATAGATAACTTGAGATTAATTCGTTCAGTCACTATGCTCTCATACTTTTTGTTTGTACCCAACTTGGTAGCCACTCCAGCACTGATGATTTAATGGCAGGAGTATTATTAATTATAATACCTTCTGTAGTTTGAGTGTTGGCTAACGTCTGCTAAATCACTAGCCCTGTCCCATAACTCCTAATATTAACATCTGGTGCTGACATTCAAACCTACCCTTAACCTCTGACCCCTGGCTCTAGAGTTTTCAATCAGAGACTGAGTTCTCTGGTTATTTGTAGTTTCATTCTGTTTTCCTGTTCGGACAGATGGGAAATACCACGAGCAGATAAAAATATCCGATGATGCCACAGGTTACAGTTATGAAGCTCTGTTCAAGCCTTACATCAGCAACACTCTCTCAGAGGTCTGGGTGGAGGACCCGTACATACGGCACACACACCAAGTAAGAGCTCTGTTTGCTTTATTTTTCTTCCTAATTTTTCAAAATACATGTATATCAGATTTCCTTCTCTTAAGCTTTGTTCACATTGACAAGAGATATATAATCTTTATTTCAGAAAGTATGTTATTGAACTTTTTTTATTTGAGTATTATAAATCAAAAACCTGAAACATCTACAATGATCTGTTTTTGTTCTGCTCAGGTACAGTATCTATAAGAAAATGCACTGCTAAATCATAAATCAAACTTAAAAGCTTTAAGTTAGATTTTTTTATGAAACTGCTCAAATCTTTGTGTCAGGAATGTGGTATAACATCTTTTCTATTCAGTCAAAATATTGCTTAATTTTTTTCTTCTAAAAAGTTATGCTTGCCATATTATGTTTTATTATCTCGCCAACACTTCAACAGATAACTTCTGACAGATACTTGATTAGTTTAGATCACTTTGATAAATGTTGATTATTGATGAACTTTTGGAGTCGTCCGCATTTCTTCAAGGGATGATGGGCTGCAAATCGTTGTTCGTTTACACTTAGATGTTGTAAAACCTAAAAGTTGTGCATCTCTTTTACTTTTCAGGTACTTTTTATGTTTGTCATTATTTTCCAAATTGCCCATGAATTTATTAGCTTTCTTTAAAATTGATATAACTGTCATTAGTTCATTAGAAAAATGTAAAATAGTTGATTTAATTCAATGGTTTTCACTGAATTTTACACTGTAAAAAAAGTTGGACATAAAGTAAAAATTGAGGGGTTTGTTCTGAGATGGATCTCTAACATGATCCAATCCAATCCATCCATCCATCCATCCATCCATCCATCCATCCATCCATCCATCCATCCATCCATCATCTTTACCCACTTTTTCCTTTCAAGGACATGGGGGTCAGTGGTGCCCATGTTTAGCAGTCACTGTATGAGAAGCAGGGGACACCCTGGACAGGTCTCCAGTCCATCATAGGGACACATAGAGACAAACAACCATTCACTTTCTCACGCACACCTAAGGACAATTTAGAGTTACCACCATGGGTGTTTTTGGTTTGTAGTTTTTAACCGTAGTGCCCGGAGAAATCCCATGTAGAGATACACGAAGAGAACATGCAAAGTCCACCCAGAAAGATCCCCAGCCTGGAATCAATCTAGCAACCTTCTTATTGTGAGGCGACAGCTCTAACAACTAAGCCGCCGTGCCCTCTAACATGAGCCGTAAAAAAAAAAAAAAAGTGTTTTTAAGACTCATTTCACGTTTGACTTGAGTTAAAGTTAATATTAGGTCATTCTAGTTTTTAAGCTTTAACAAAAAAATGTATTTAACAAGTTAACTTTTACATGATGTCTCACAGAGCCCTTATGTCTTCTTTCCAACAGCTGTACAACTTCCTACGTTTCTGTGAGATGCTGCTAAAGTCCTGCTGCAAGGTGAAACAGATCCATCTCCTCACGTCGCAGGATGAAGTAGGTTGCACAAACAATGAGGTCATGTTGGGTCACGAAGCCACAGCTGTCTCCTCTGCTGAGTTTCTGCTGTTGTTTCACTGACGCTCGTGTCCTGCAGGCTGACAGCAGCCAGCAGAGCAGCGCTCTGTCTGAGCTGAGAGACAGTCTCAGTGCTCGGGGAGTGACTCTGGACCTGCAGTACTCCTCCACCATCCATGACAGAGAGATCAGGTATTTTATCATTTGCAGTGTTAATATAACAATTTATCATGTGTACATGTTTGTACTTACAAAGACTTCTTTTGTAGGTTTGACAACGGCTGGATTATAAAAATCGGAAGAGGGTTAGATTACTTCAAGAAGCCCACGGTAAGACTGCAGCTTCATAAAGAGAATATTCATCCCTTCATTTCTACTTTACTCGGGTTAAGTTCTGGTTGTCATCGTGTCCCACAGGGCAGGTTCTCTATTGGATACTGTGACTATGACCTCAGGCAGTGCCATGAGACCAGCGTAGACATTTTCCACACAAAACACACAAAAAACCTATAAGACTTAAGATGTAAAAAAAAATCTAACTCAAAAGACATGGAGCCATCAGGATTGTTGCTATTTTTATCTTAAAAAACATGTATAATAAGAGTTTTTACATTTCTTTGCATTAATGTCTTGTCTGAGCTAACTAGAACAATAATTTCCCCCTAACTTTATAGATTCTTTTTGTGTATTTGTAAATTTTGTTTGTAATTATGGCTGTAAAAATAATGGCTGTATTTTGGGGGTTTTATGAGTGTTGTGGTGAAAAAAATGTTGACATTTTTTAAACATTTATTAAAAACTGCTTTTATTATACCCACTATTCTTCAGTGTTGTCTTCTTACAGGTTCATATTTTACATAAAGCACAAAAGAAAGGATCAAAATAAACAAGCAGTACGCCGATGCCCCTCGTTGTTGAACATTTGAATAGTGAATGTTTGTAGTTTTCCAGACGAGTGTATTTGTGGACTAGAAATGAACAGGGACAAGTAAACCTTAATGTTTTTGATCTAAGTTATTTAAGTGGGTAGGAGTTGCACTGAGTTACTGTACCGGTAGCTTTTTATTATTATAAAAATATATATATTTTCCAAAAAACAAGAATATACTGTACATACTATATAAAACACACCAAAATGGAAATCTTGATCTTGAATGTTGCCATGGCAACCACATTTTTAAAGAAAACTTTCCTATGCCTAGATGTAGCCACACATTAAAATGGATGTCTATACTTCACTTTTCACGTTATCCTGCTCACAAGCATGGACGGACGGACAGAGAGAGGGTATTTCCAACTCTGTCTTTTTGCTCCACGACTGGAGACAAAAACACACATGGACCAACACCATAACACATTTTGCTTTTATTAAAAAATTATAAAACATGAAGAAGATTTAATTAGAGGAGCTTGTAAAAGACAAACAAACCTAACCTGATAAAGCTATAATAATATGAAAATCATAAATCAATGAGGTTTCATACTAGGTTTCATTTATTTGCCAAAAAATAAGATCCCCCTGAATATATCAAAAAATACAATGATATAGAAATTATTATTTTAATGCTTTTATGTCAATCTAGACCTATATTACACTTATTTAAACACACTTATACTCACTTTTGATGCAGCTTATCTGCTTATTCAGTCATTCCTGTGCTGCAGATGTGTTTTGAAGTAATTAAAGTTCTCTGGGGATGCTCTAGCCAGAAGATTGGGGCCCAATCTTAAGGTTACAGTGACCCAGGTTTTGAAGGACATGTTTATGAAACCATCGCTCTGTTGCACAGACTACTTTGATGAAGGAAAAACAGATTTAATTAAATCTGTTCTCCTGGCAATCATCAAAACTTGCTTTGATCTGCTCTCACGCGATCAGGGAAGCCTTTATAAGAAATGTATCAGACACAGAGAGTTAGAAGTCTTGCTCTGGACCAGCGCGCAGGTGCCAGGCAGTGTGATTGAGTTCTGTCATCGGATCGAAAGGCTTCCCGATCATTTTGTCACGGTGAGAGATACTCATATCAATTTGTGTGTTAAGAGTGTACATGACTCTTTTGCTTGGCTGTTTTTTTTCTTGTGGCAGATTAATAAATGACAAATATTATTCTAGCAAGTTACAGTCTGTGTGTCATTTTTTCCATCGTCTGAATATCTGTGCCGACCGTTTCACGAGCCCTTTTGATAAAGAATTTCACAATACATACAATTTGACTGTTGGCATATTATTATTTCAATTTTCTACAAATATTACTGGATTATAAAGTATTTAAATTATGAGAGAGCAGGGAAATAATGTACTTTATGTTAAAAAAAAATCCCTGGCCAGAGAAGATACTCAATCCCTCCAGCGAGTTCTGGGTCTACCCCGAGGACTCCTCCCAGTGGGACATGCTCAAAAAAGCTCCAAAGGGAAGCGTCCAGGAGACTAATCCAATGCTTGAACCACCTCAACTGACTGGGGCAGCTGGGGTTGAGTGGTTTGAGCAGTCGCCTTCCAGTGGGAGAATTGGAGGTTTATTTCCACCAGCAGTCACATGTTGAAGTGTCCCTAAGACACTGAACCCGTCATTGCCTCAATTGTGTGTCCCATTGGTGTATGAATGTGATCTAAAGCTTTGATTAATCTCTTTAGAATGATTTGTTCAATGTATGAATGGGTAAATGAGGACAGATTGTAGTGTAAAGTGCTTTGAGTGTCTTTATTAGATAGAAAGGTGCTATGTAAGTACCGTATTTTTCGGACTATGTGGCACACTTAAAATCCTTTAATTTTCTCTGACAGTGCAACTTATGTATTAATTCTGGTTGTGCTTACTGATCTCAAACCGATGTTATGTGGTACAACTGAACAATGTTGAGAGTTATTGTGAATGAGATGAACAAAGTTTGACTTATTTGCTGTTTTGTCTTAATGCACCTTATAGTCTGAAAAATATGGTACAGTTAATTTATTCCTTTCAGTGCAAAGGAGCAACGACTCCACTCCGAGCACCCCCCAGATGATGGAGCTCCTCGCCCTATCTGTAAGGCTGAACCTGGCGACCTTACGAGGGAAGCTCATTTTGGCCTCTTGTATCCAGGATCTCATTTTTTCTGTTGTGATCCAAACATCATGACCATAGGTGAGGGCTGGAACCTAGACAGACCAGTATATTGAGAGATTTGCCTTTCGACGCAACTCTTTCTTCACTACAACTGACTGAAGCAACACCCTCATTACTGAGGATCAGTGGTGGAGAAAGTACTCAAACACTGTACTTAAGTAAAAGTTCAAATAAACAGACAAAAATGTACTCTAGTAAAAGTAGAAGTACCACATTAACATTTTACTTAAGTAAAAGTAAATAAGTACTTGCTTTTAAAATACTTAAAGTATTACAAGTAGAAGTACTTCCTGAATGTATTACATAATGCAATTGTCTACATGTCTTTAAGTCTGCCTACCGTATGTATATTTTCTGTAATACATTAATAGTGTTGTGTCATTTTAATGAACGATGCTGCAGATAATACATGTTTTTATTGTGTTTACTCTGTGACACAGTTCACACTTGGACTTGTGATTCTGTGCAGCAGAATTTCAGGGATGACATGCAGAGTTAAATGACATTAAGCAAAATAAGAAAGAGGAATGATTATAACTTTGAAAGTTTTTATTTAACACAAATCAAAACCAATGTGTCATTTTAACTGCAGTAAACACATTTAAGTAAAAGTTGTCTGCCTGAACAAAAGGAGCATTAGACACATCTAACAAAGGAACATCTGATCATTTCAACTCCAGTTTGTCATCAACTCTAGTTCAAATACTGTCTATTCAACCTTGTAATGGATCAATAGTGAACAATATTTTAACTTCCTGACACCATTTTTAAAACTTGGACCCGAGTGTCGAGACATTTGGAGACATCTCTTGTCTCCTAACATCATGAACTGACACATTTTAATTTTGCAGCAAGAATTTCTTGTTCAAGTTCAGAAGAAGTTGGTTTTCAAAGATTTTTGAGTTCAATCTGGCTCTTTTGATAAATAAAATCTGTCCTGTTGTACTGAGCAGTCTTTCAATAAGTCCATGGGTGGAGCATATCTTCTGGCTGACTCTCCTGTGGTTGAATACATTTTGGGTGTGTTAGTGGGGCTGTGGGTGCACCCAGCTCAGTGACATCTATACTAGAATATATGTCATTGGCCCAGCTTTTCTTAAAGGTGGGTCTAACGTTACCTGCCCACTTTGCAGTGATTCACTGGACCAGCTCCTCTCACCATTAGTTACTTTCAAAGTAACAAACAAATCAAAAAGCCGCAACATGAATGTAACTTGTAATGCAACGCGTTATAGAAATGTAGTGTAGTAGAAAGTACAGATACTTGAAGTAAAATGTAGTGGAGTAAAAGTATAAAGTACCCACATTTAACTCTACTTAAGTAAAGTACAGATACATGAAAAATGAACTTCAGTACAGTAACAAAGTATTTGTACTTAGTTACATCCCATCACTGCTGAGGATGAGAACTCTTTCTTCACTACAACTGACTGACTGAAGCGACACCCTCATTACTGAGAACAAGAACTCTTTATTAACCACAACTGACTGACTAAAGTAACACCTTCATTACTGAGGATGAGAACTCTTTCTACACTACAACTGACTGAAGCAACACCCTCATTACTGAGGACAAGAACTCTTTCTTCA